AAATGCTCAGGTAAGAGTTATGCAAGTTTGTTTATTGTTTCAACCAAACTTCTGATAATTGTAACTAATTAAATAGAACTTGATTATTGACTTTTGTCAGATGATGACACTGATTTTACATATGAAATAAAATTTGTTTGCATTTTTAATACATATTTTTTTCATTTTTCGTCTTTTCTTGGAAGAAAAAAAAACACATCTGATTAATCATTCACCTAGCTAGCAAAATTAACAGAATATTTTAATGTAGTGTAGATCAAAATAAATAATACATTTGTAGGTTTACTGTTGAGGTCTAGAATGTGTGTATTCAGTTAGGTGTGTAATAAATTGTGTCTACTAGTATTTAATTATATAACAGGTCATGAGATATTAACTGTGGTGAATTAAGACTGGGGTTGTTTCCAATTAATACTTACACCTTTGAGTGTAATTATTTGAAAATCATGACAGTTGATAATCATACTAACTCTTACTTGCCTATGGAAACAATTGGAGTAATACCATTTCAACAAAGGGTGGGAATCAACTTAGATATATTAATACACATGTTGACCAAAATTTCATTGAACAATAACTTACACAAGCATAAAATACTAATATAACACTTTCAAAATTCTTATCAACTGATTCAATTGATGTACAAATACTTTTTCAAATTAATTCATAAATAGTAAATCATTAAACATTTTGATTTACAAAGGAACTATATGCAAGTGTATATCTATAATAAAAGGGTTGTTCGACCAATCTTTTCCTAATTTAATGGCAAATAACATGTCAAAAGTTGGCAGTTGATGATTAAAATGGTGTATAAAGTTTCTGCAAGTCATAAAAACACATCATAGTTTCATGATATGTCTTCAACTTAGTATTCTGCACCATCTCCAAAACCAGAATGATCGCATAGATCCAGCATGGCTGAATCAAAAATCATACTGTGGATTCATTATTATTCGCGGGATACCAATTTTCGTGGATTTCGTGAGTATAGTTGAACTACGAATTCCATAACCTACAGTATTTCAGGAAAATCAGGAGACCTAAACAAAATGACTTCATACCTGAGGCCTCCATTTGCTTCCCTTCTACCAAGTGAAAAGGAAAATAACATAAATATTGAGCTTCTTTGCTTTTTGAATTATTGAACAAACAAACAAAAATCAGGCCTTACTAGTATTAATTGACAGACAAACTAAATAAACTCATCATAGAAGTAAAACTGTGTACGCCAGACGTGTGTTTCGTTTACAAAAGACTCACCAGCGCCGCTGAAATTAAAAAAGTTATAAAAGCTAAATACAGTGGGAAGTTGACGAGTATTGAATATCCAAAATTCCTAAAGATTTTGCCAAATACAAATAAGGTAATTTATTTCTAGGGTAGAATCTTTAGTATTTCGGAAAATTCAAAGTTTTGTAAACAGTTAATTTTTAAAATGTATGACCAAATCAATGATAATTTATGTCAACACAGAAGTGATGACTACAGGGCTAAATGATATTATATCTTAGGTCATCAATGACTCATGGCTACTGATATTTTTTAAACTATAAAGTATCTTAATGTACACACCAGAAGCGTATTTACCCGTTTAATTCAGGCTATAATGACGCTGATTTGAAGTAGTTACTAGTTGGCCTTACCAAATTAATGGGATGTGCTGTAGAAAATTTAGTGTGATTAACATTATTTACGTGAAAAGTAAAAATATTGAAAATATTTTATTAAATATGAAACCACTTTGTTGCACAAATTACAGTCTGCTTCTAGTGAATTCAACCTTGACCTATGACATGGTGAACTCAAAGCTAATAAGGATATTTCTCTCATTATATGTGACCATATACTAGTATCCAAGTAAGGTTGCAATCCAATATACAATATTTGAGTGAGCGTTGAGACAGACTGCATACCGAGGGGTTAAAAACAAATCATCCAGAAAGAAGCATTTTTCTAAGGGATGGCATTTCAACTATTTTGAAAGATGAAATAATGTGCTGACGTTTTATAACGGAAAGTGAAAGGTAGTTCCTGCGTTCATCAGACACATTCTGGGTTCAATATGATGCAAAAATGAAAAACAATATGTCCTTGTACAACAAGAGTGTACACTCTGAAATGTCTCGCCTGCTTTACTTACGATTGAATTTATGTTAAAAATCAGGAATGAAGGTTTTACTAGAAGTATTAAATAAACTTAACATTATCACCTTGAAAATGATGCGAAGGTCAGATGAACCATGTCAGACTTGACATGTACACCTTACAATCATTCAATACCGCAAATTTAGTTGACCTATTGCTTTTAGTACCTGGAAAAGAGACCAAACCACATAAACTTAACAATGACCATTGAACCATGAAAATGAGGTCAAGGTCATATGAACCATATCAGACAGACTTGTATATGTTTCAAACATTCCATACACAAAATATAGTGGTCCTATTGCTTATAGTACATGTCTCTGAGAAGTAGATCAAACCACAAAAACTAAACTTTGTCCAATGAACCATGAAAATGATGTTAAGCTCAGATGACATGTACACCTTACGATTATTCCATAAACCAAATATAGCTGACCTCTTGCTATTAATATTTGAAAAACAGACCAAAACACAAAAACTTAACATTGAACAATAAACCATGAAAATGAGGTCAATATCAGATGAAACCTGCCACACTGCCATGTACACCTTACAATTATTCCATACACCAAATATAGCTGACCTCTTGCTATTAATATTTGAAAAACAGACCAAAACACAAAAAATTAATATTGACCAATGATCCATACAGATGAGGTCAAGGTCAGATGATAGCTGCCAAACTGATATGTACACCTTACAATCATTCCATACACCAAATATAATTGTCCTATTGCTTATAGTACTTAAACAACAGATCAAAACACAAAAACTTAGCATTGACCAATGAACTATGAAAATGAGGTCAAGGTAAGATGATACCTGCCAGACAGACATGTACACCTTACAAACATTCAATTCACCAAATACAGTTGACCTATTGCTTATGGTACTTGAAAAACCGACCAAATCACAGAACCTTAACATTGACCACTGAACCATGAAAATGAGGTCACGGTCAGATGAAACCTGCCAAACTGACATGTAGCCATTACAATCATTCCGTACACCACATATAGTACCTACTGCTTATAGTTTTTGAGAAACAGACCTAATCACGTAACTTTAACCTTGATCACTGATCAAGGAAATGAGGTTGAGGTTAGTAATACCTATGTATCACATACAGCAACTTTCATTGCAGGCAATATAATAAAGCTTTATACAAATAGTTAATGACGTAGACACTGGCAAATTGTAATCCCCATGTCTCGCATTATTTGATGAAGGAGAGACAAAAATAGAAGTAAAAAAGAAGTTTGAATCAAACGAATAACTCAGATGGAGTCACTGAGATTAGATACATCACCTGGTTAAAACCAAAAGCACTGCTTAACATGAGTTACTCATCATGCATCTCTGATTTAAGTCACATCCAGTTATGTATGCTAACATTAAAATCTTTACTTTCTTGGGTAAAATTTCAAAATAAGTCTTTCATTAATCCATAAGTGCTATTTTATTTCAAAATATCATCGCAAAAACCAAAAAAAAAAAACCAAAAACAAAGAGGAGTTATTATGAGTCCATTTGATTTGACAAATATATAGTTAAAATATGGAGGCTCTTTTAATAAACTGTTAACACAGAGAAATGTCTTACCTTTTTGTTATTTTGATAGTAAAATGCAAATGTTGAAATAAAAACAGCAATATTTTCAACACGTTAGTTATGCAAAATATTCAGTCAATGAACCATGACTAAAGGTACAGGGTCAAACAATCTCCATGGAAAAGAAATATGCCAATGCTCGTACAACTGCATACCAAATTTCATTGACCTACAACTAGAAGTTCCCCATAAACTTACCTAATCACAAACTAATAAATGTAAACTAAGCAAAAGTTTTCAAAGTCAATAGACCATCACTGAGGGTGGGGGGCCAGATAATCTCCATGGAAATGAGATGTGCCAATGCTAATTCAACTGCATACCAAAAATCATTGACCTACCACTAGTGGTTCCCCATAAACTGACCTTATCACACACTAATACATGTAAACAAAGGAAAAGTTTCAAAGTCAATAGACCATGACTGAGGGGGTGGGACCAAATAATCTCCATGGATATGAGATGTGCCAATGCTAATACAACTGCATAACAAATTTCATTGACCTACCACTAGTGGTTCCCCATAAACTTACCTAATCACAAACTAATACATGTTAGCTAAGCAAAAGTTTCAAAGTCAATAGACAATGACTGAGTGGGGTGGGACCAAATAATCTCCATGGAAATGAAATGTGCCAATGCTAACAGAACTGCATACCAAATATCATTGACTTACCACTATTGGTTCCCCATAAACTGGCCTTATCACAAACAAATATTGTTGACGCCGCTGCGGCTGCCGGTAACAGCATAACTTTGTTATGATAACATAAAATGCAACCAAGTACATAAGGGGGTTTGGATGGGGGTCCTTCAATTCTGTGTTCTTTAATTATTTAGGCCGTTTCTCTATTCTTTATATTTTAGCACCTCATTATTCTCTATTCTTTATATTTTAGCACCTCATTATTCTCTATTCTTTATATTTTAGCACCTCATTATTCTCTATTCTTTATATTTTAGCACCTCATTATTCTCTATTCTTTATATTTTAGCACCTCATTATTCTCTATTCTTTATATTTTAGCACCTCATTATTCTCTATTATTTATTTTTTTGGTCCATTTTTCTCTATTCTTTATATTTTTTGCCCATTATTCTCTATTCTGTAAACCCCCATCCACACCCTCACATAAGCTTTCTGTCAAACTGTCTCTGAATTTTGTTGTGTTTTGGAGAGACAGGCATGCAGAGATTTTCACAATTTCAGCCACAGGGCAAGATGTGGGGACAGTATAGAGTTAAAATTTCATAAGCCATTTATTATATATGCATAAGCAATTTAAATTGTATTTATATATGACATTCATATACAAATGTTTATAGAATTATCAACTCTATACAGCTAAAGCAATGATCACAGAAAATTGTCTTTAAGACAAAACAAAACAATTTATAAATAAATAAACAATATGCATCTATCATTATGATATACAACAAAAAGAATTGATTTCTATTATTAAATAAAACATTTGCATGCACACTAACAATTTCTTGCAGATGATGCTACATCAAATTAAGAAAAGAAATAAAAAAAAATAATCTAAGTACCAGTATTTGCTTAAAGCTTCTACTGTGAGAGGCTTTTTAAATTGTTTTTTGATATCATGAATTCTAACATTGAGCATGTTTTGCTTAAATAGAAATCTTTTGTTTCAGGAAAAATGGCTAATAAGTATTTTAGAAATTAGAGCAATTGCATTTACATGTTTGGAAGTGTGTGTGTGTCTTTTGCATAAAACACTGAAATATATACAGGATTTAACTAAATGTATAATATGTTTGGCCCAAACTGCAGCTTACAAATTATTCCCCCAAAATAACATAAACATCAGCTTTGATTTGATCGATATTCACTTTTGGCGATGACTGTACTGTAGGTTTCTATAAATGATTTCATCTGCATGTTGGTGAATAAAAAAATTTCAAAAAATGAAATTGGACTTCTTACAAAATCCATCATTCATTGCCTGACAATGCACAATAAAATGATTTTATTTCTAAACTTAACCTATCTGAAAAACCCTTAGGCTCATAAATAAATTCATTACAACTCATACCACATACATACTGTAAATTAAAAAAAATTTGCTATGCTTTAATAATTGCTACCGAAAAAGTATTGAAATGATAAAAACTTAAAAATTTACTGAAATGCCAAGAATTAATCTTGCATACTTGTTCTTTCTTGAAAAATAGCAATGATAAATGTACGCAAAATTTTCAGAAAAAAAAATGACAAGTTATTTACTACCACCACATGACATGTTTTGATGTGTATAAATTTAATAAAATACAAAAAAAATGTACATAAATTATTAAAGCCTGACAGAAGCAATTATACAGCTAAATCTAAACTTTGGAAATATTATTATATTTTTACTGTTATAAAATATTTGTTCTACTTCACTTTTTCCCTTTTTGTCTTTTATTAAACACTGTTTAGTCCTTTCAATTTATTTCCTATGTTCATTATTTCATGCCAAGTTATCTTGCCTTCTGATACCCATACTGCAAATTTTATCTTATGCAAAAAATATCATTTCTTTTTCTTCAGTACCAGTATCACATTACTTAAAATATTTTAAAACATTAACAATTATTACAACAACAACAGATGTCAAATGATGGTAATACTAATAGCTTACATAGCCTACAAGCCATGAAAACATTAAATGCCAACATTCTTACATGAAACTTCTGTAACAATTCACATTCTAACATGAGATGCCGATGCAATGAACATTCTTTAGACATATAAAAATTACTAATATTTAGTTCTTAAATTTTCAGTTTCTTCTATTGTGACAATACAAGAATACATGCAATTATCAAATTAAATGCACAAATTATACATATAATATAAATGTCTATAAGTTGTCGCCATTTTTATATTTTTTTATTTCTATATGATGTCACCTCTCAGGACTTTTCTTTAGTGTGTTGGTATTTTCTCATTCTGTATTTGGTAATAACAAGCCTGAAAATGAGATATAGAAATTGACTGCTTTAAACATGTTGGTTTAGATGACAAATACTGTTCTAAAGAAGATAATGAAAAGTATGTGCTTATTAAAGAGATTTACCAAGGGATATAAGAACCTCTGAATACTTGTCAATTACATTTATAACACATTTTTGACTTTCTGAATATTATTCACTATTATATATATGATGTGTAAACATAAAGTGCAAGCAAATTTAATTTTCATGGACAAGAGACACTATAGCCTAGACTTCCTTCATAGATGGGCTTATAAAATTATAAAAACACAAAGATTTTTCAAATCATGATAAAATAAACATAGATTTTAAATAGATTAATCTACAATTAATAAACTGACGGGTTCACTTACATAAAGAGTTGTGAACATTATTCCAAGTTCTCCGTTCTCTAAATATCGTTCCATCAAATCCTCAATAAAATGAACTTCAGCTCCAAGATGACGAATTTTAGACCTAACAACCACATACTGAAAGATCGGGAAAAGTTCATCCATACACCATATATGCTCTTCTCCTAAAGTTGTCTGAACAGTCTAAAAAATATAAAACGGAATCACAAAGACCTGATTAAAGTATAGATCCTGTGTCCACATTTTGTTTACCAGCATCTGAAAACACTCCATTCAACTTTCTGCTCTGGTGATTATCATGTCAGCCAATGAAATTTCTACCATCATATTTTTGAAGTTGTCACACCGCGTATATCATTACATTATAACCCCAGGATCTCAAAAGGTTTATAAGAAAGAAAGCAGAATGGAGCGTTGTTAGAACTTTATAAGCATAGCATGGACATCTATGTATTCATTTGTGTATTCATAGGATCTTTATTTCATCATCAGATTAGAATCTTTTAACTATTACTAATTTAACTGATGGATAGTTTTAAACAATGCCTTTAAACTTTGTACTTGACCTTGCTCTCACAATGTTCTGATTCAAGTGATGAGCCTTACATACACAAATTTCGCTTTGGTCTACTTAATTATAAGCCTTGTATCTTTAATGAGCTTTTTTTGATAAAAATCATAACTTCTTTGATCAAATATTGTGAAAGTATAATTATTCTCTTGAAGGGGAGAGGTTAAGTAGGACAAAAGTGCAATTTTTGTGAACTTTTAGGTGAAATAAAACCAAGAAACCTAAATTTTTGAATTCAGACTTTGTCTCAATTATTACTAGCTAGTACTATGTACCCATACAGCTGTCTTTAGTATGGACACGACACAAGTCCATCATTTCAGACCAATGATGACTTCATATGGCCTTTTTTTGTATTCTTGCTCTGTTGAGTTATTGTCTCCTTGACAAATATTACACATATCTCCTTTTATCCATAGAAACCAAATCATGTATGTTGTAAATTATAAATTGTACAAACCAGGTACACTGACTGGTAAATAATAACATCACATGACTGATTGATGATATTTGGTGTTTTAACTATTCAACTATTTTTAAAGGTGGTTAATAACACTACAGGGAGATAAGTCTGTAAAAATCAGCTGAACGTTTTAATCACGTTCTATTGTTAATGAAATATTAAGCTTCTCAATGATCAAAATTAGTGTTTATCAACCTGCTATATATCCAATGAAATTTTTCCAATAAAGTGTGTGGTTCAAGTTTTTTGAAATTTTGTCAAATGGTCAAAGTAAATATTTTGTCAAAATTTTATGAAAATTAAACGAGCCAAATTAATTTTAGCCAAGGTGTTTGGTACCACCTTAACTATAAGCTATTTCATGGCAGCCAGTTTTCTTTGGTGGAGGGAGCCAAAGTGCCTGGAGAGAACCAACTACCTTTGGGAGGAAAGTTGCAATCCTATTCAATTAAAATTGGAGTCTAACATACTTAGTGGTACAGTAATTGAATAATTAGACCACTTGGCCATCGATGCCTCATTACATCACATACCACATAGATGTTTCATAAAGATAACAGCATTTCGATTTGCATACAGCAATGATGCAGTGCACATGGTCTCTTTGACAATATTAATGTTAGTGTTACCACAACCCAAATGAATATCAAATAGATTGTAAATTCACATATTTTTTATTGTTTTACTTTTTTAAATTGCAAGTGGATAGATTTGGCAAAAATAAAAACTTCCATTTCTAAAATTTTGCATAGCATTTTTTGTATGCACCATTTCCATGGCAATAAATAATCTCATATAATAGTTCATGGTTCATCAACATCAATAATTATTCAAGCAATAAATTTGAAATTACAGTATACTAAATGACATACCTCTGTTATTTCTGTAAAAGAATCTCTTATAACTTGTATTTTTTCTTTTGGACTAAAAGCAGTACTGAAATATGAGATGATTAACATATTTTGAATACCTGGATCTACTGATATTGAAAAAGTTATTTATCATATTTAAAAAAAAAATATTGAGATTTATCTTGTTCTTAGCTACTTTTTCCTTGCTAGTTGATAATCAATTTGTGTGTTTTTTTTTTATCTCAGTTCTGTATTGTTCTTAATTCAATTATAACATTAAATCTCTAATTATAATAAAATGCTTCGCTGGGCGCAGCTTGATACGACCGCAGAGGTCGAACCCTGAACAGTTGGGGCAAGTATGGACACAACATTCAAGCTTGATACAGCTCTGAATTTGGATTGTGATTAAATATTTGACACAGCATAGGTTTCTGACACAGAAAGAATGTGGTCTAAGAACTTCAATTTTTTTAATTTACCTATTATGGTCCAATGTCCAAAATCAAAATACATGGTTAGATTCAGCATATCAAAGAACCCCATATATTCAATTTTTGTTGAAATCAAACAAAGTTTAATTTTGGACCCCAACTTGGACAAACTTGAAAACTGGTCCCATAATCAAAAATCTAAACACATGTTTAGATTCAGCATATCAAAGTACCCCAAGAATTCAATTTTTGTTAAAATCAAACTAAGTTTAATTTTGGACCCTTTGGACCTTAATGTAGACCAATTTAAAAAACGGGACCCAAAACTAAAAATCTAAAAACACGGTTAGATTTGGCATATCAAAGAACCCCAATAATTCAATTTTTGATGAAATCAAACAAAGTTTAATTTTGGACCCTTTTGTCCTCAATATGAACCAATTTGATAGCGGGCCCACAAATAAAAAATCTAAATACATGGTAAGATTCAGCATATCAAAGAACCCCATATATTCAATTTTTGTTGAAATCAAACAAAGTTTAATTTTGGACCCCAATTTGGACCAACTTGAAAACTGGGCAAAAAATCTAAAATCTAAATACATGTTTAGATTCAGCATATCAAAGAACCCCATATATTCAATTTTTGTTGAAATCAAACAAAGTTTAATTTTGGACCCCAACTTGGACCAACTTGAAAACTGGGCCCATAATCAAAAATCTAAACACATGTTTAGATTCAGCATATCAAAGAACCCCAAAAATTCAATTTTTGTTAAAATCAAACTAAGTTTAATTTTGGACCCTTTGGACCTTAATGTAGACCAATTTAAAAAACGGGACCCAAAATTAAAAATCTAAACACTTGGTTAGATTTGGCATATCAAAGAACCCCAATAATTAAATTTTTGATGAAATCAAACAAAAAAGTTTGATTTTGGACCCTTTTGACCTCAATATGAACCAATTTGATAGCGGGCCCACAAATAAAAAATCTAAATACATGGTAAGATTCAGCATATCAAAGAACCCCATATATTCAATTTTTGTTGAAATCAAACAAAGTTTAATTTTGGACCCTAATTTGGACCAACTTGAAAACTGGGCCAAAAATCTAAAATCTAAAAACATGTTTAGATTCAGCATATCAAAGAACCCCATATATTCAATTTTTGTTGAAATCAAACAAAGTTTAATTTTGGACCCCAACTTGGACCAACTTGAAAACTGGGCCCATAATCAATAAAATGCTCCGCTGGGGCGCAGCTTGATACGACCGCAGAGGTCGAACCCTGAACAGTTGGGGCAAGTATGGACACAACATTCAAGCTTGATACAGCACTGAATTTGGATTGTAATTAAATATTTGACACAGCATAGGTTTCTGACACAGAATGAAAGTGGTCTAAGAACTTAAAAATTTTCAATTTACCTATTCATACATGTGATGGACTGTGAAACTCAGATCAGGAGATTGGGAAATTTTGGTCAGGAGATTAGGACTCAGATCAGGAGGTTTTTAATCGACATTAATTTTGTTGTAAATGTAACCGTGTGCTGTAAAAATGGTCTTTTAAAGTGTGTTTTCTTCAACTTTCCAACCAATTTATTATGTTTATAGTACCCTTGTACTTATAAAGTTTCTCCATCTTTATATTCTACATGTTCAATCTAACATTGTTTTTTTCCAGTATGTTCTTTAAATTTTTTACTTCATATTCTATAAAACAATCATTGCAACCAGAACATTTGTTTAGCTGTCTGCAAATAGTTTTTATTTTTTTTTTTTTTCTCTTGCAAATAGTTTTTATTCGCAAACTCAGAAATCCATTCTATCTGTAAAGTTAGGGTCATAGTTATTATATAAATTTCAATTTAAGCCTTAAAAGGAAGTATAGAATCCTCAAATAATTTTCAAATTATTATTTTTTTATTTGTCCTAAGACATTTAAAATCATTTAATAACCATCCTTTTATGATTATTTGTTCAATTTATATTTTATTTATATTCTTTTAAAAATTTTCATTATTAAAAGGAAAGTAACTTAAAACAGGATAAATCAAGGGAAGTAACCCAATAAATACACAGTTTTTGTTACACAACGGCAGTTAGCCTGAGGTAAAAATCGTTGCTTACCAGTATGTTTGACACCCAAGCTGACAAGTGAAGCCATATAATTATGCATGTTAATTGATTTACAGGTAAAATATAACTTCAGGTAATGTCAGTTACACCAGATGCCTGAGATGTTATGTTGGGCAGAAATTTTTCATTCATGAAAAATTTCATTCACGGGATTTTTTCAACGGGAGGGGGGGGGGGGGAGGAGACCCCTGAAAACGGGATTATTGTACTCCCGTCGGGAGGTTCACATGTATGCCTATTCAAACCATATCATTATTATTTGCTTTTATATATAAATCAGAAATAACCAATTTAAAATGGAAAATGTTAAAGAAAAAAAAGGAAAAAAAAAATCCCCCCCCCCCCCCAATTTTTTGAACCCCCTTATGATTCATCGCCCCCAAACTCAATCCCAGCTTTCCCTTTGTGGTATGGTACCTTGCAGTACAATTTCAGAGAGATTCATACACTTGAACACAAGTTATTGTCTGGAAACTAGAAAAATGCTTGTTTTTTGGCCCCTTTTTGGCCCCAAATTCCTAAACGTTTAGGGCAATTACCCCCAAACTCAATTCCAGCTTTCCCTTTGTGATATGGAACCTTGCAGTACAATTTCATAAAGATCCATACACTTACACACAAGTTATTGTCCTGAAACTAGAAAAATGCATGTTTTTTTTGCCCTTTTATGGCCCCTAATTACTAAAATTTTGAGGGAAAACCCCCAAAATCAATCCCAGCCTTCCCTTTGTGATATGGAACCTTGTAGTACAATTTCATAAAGATCCATACACTTACAAACAAGTTATTGTCATGAAACTAGAAAAATGCTTGTTTTTTGCCCCTTTTTGGCCCCTAATTCCTAATATTTGGAGGAAATAACCCCAAAAATCAATCCCAGTATTCCCTTTGTGATATGGAACCTTGTAGTACAATTTCATAAAGATCCATACACTTACAAACAAGTTATTGTCATGAAACTAGAAAAATGCTTGTTTTTTGCCCCTTTTTGGCCCCTAATTCCTAAAATTTGGAGACAATTACCCCCAAAATCAATCCCAGCATTCCCTTTGTGATATGGAACCTTGTGGTACAATGTCAGAGAGATCCATACACTTACACACAAGTTATGTCTGGAAGTTACAAAAATGCTTATTTTTGGCCCCTTTTGGCCCCTAATTCCTTAACTGTTAGTACCATAACCCCCAAAATCAATCCCCACCTTCCTTTTGTGGTATTGAACCTTATGGTAAAATTTCAATGAGATCCATTCCCTTAAACTAAAGTTAGAGTGCGAAAACTAATGTGTATTCGGACGACGACGCCGGACGACGACGACGACGCCGACGACGACGACGACGACGACGACGACGCCAACGTCATACCAATATACGACCACAAAAATTTTTTTGCGGTCGTATAAAAATCTAAACACATGTTTAGATTCAGCATATCAAAGAACCCCAAGAATTCAATTTTTGTTAAAATCAAACTAAGTTTAATTTTGGACCCTTTGGACCTTAATGTAGACCAATTTAAAAAACGGGACCCAAAATTAAAAATCTAAATACACGGTTAGATTTGGCATATCAAAGAACCCCAATAATTCAATTTTTGATGAAATCAAACAAAGTTTAATTTTGGACCCTTTTGACCTCAATATGAACCAATTTGATAGCGGGGTCCACAAATAAAAAAAATCTAAATACATGGTTAGATTCAGCATATCAAAGAACCCCATATATTCAATTTTTGTTGAAATCAAGCAAAGTTTAATTTTGGACCCCAATTTGGACCAACTTGAAAACTGGGCCAAAAATCAAAAATCTAAATACATGTTTAGATTCAGCATATCAAAGAACCCCATATATTCAATTTTTGTTAAAATCAAACAAAGTTTCATTTTGGACCCTTTGGACCTTAATGTAGACCAATTTGAAAACTGGATCCAAAATTAAAAATCTAAATACACGGTTAGATTCGGCATATCAAAGAACCCCAATAATTCAATTTTTGATGAAATCAAACAAAGTTTAATTTTGGACCCTTTTGTCCTCAATATGAACCAATTTGATAGCGGGCCCACAAATAAAAAATCTAAATACATGGTAAGATTCAGCATATCAAAGAACCCCATATATTCAATTTTTGTTGAAATCAAACAAAGTTTAATTTTGGACCCCAATTTGGACCAACTTGAAAACTGGGCCAAAAATCTAAAATCTAAATACATGTTTAGATTCAGCATATCAAAGAACCCCATATATTCAATTTTTGTTGAAATCAAACAAAGTTTAATTTTGGACCCCAACTTGGACCAACTTGAAAACTGGGCCCATAATCAAAAATCTAAACACATGTTTAGATTCAGCATATCAAAGAACCCCAAAAATTCAATTTTTGTTAAAATCAAACTAAGTTTAATTTTGGACCCTTTGGACCTTAATGTAGACCAATTTAAAAAACGGGACCCAAAATTAAAAATCTAAACACTTGGTTAGATTTGGCATATCAAAGAACTCCAATAATTAAATTTTTGATGAAATCAAACAAAAAAGTTTGATTTTGGACCCTTTTGACCTCAATATGAACCAATTTGATAGCGGGCCCACAAATAAAAAATCTAAATACATGGTAAGATTCAGCATATCAAAGAACCCCATATATTCAATTTTTGTTGAAATCAAACAAAGTTTAATTTTGGACCCTAATTTGGACCAACTTGAAAACTGGGCCAAAAATCTAAAATCTAAAAACATGTTTAGATTCAGCATATCAAAGAACCCCATATATTCAATTTTTGTTGAAATCAAACAAAGTTTAATTTTGGACCCCAACTTGGACCAACTTGAAAACTGGGCCCATAATCAATAAAATGCTCCGCTGGGGCGCAGCTTGATACGACCGCAGAGGTCGAACCCTGAACAGTTGGGGCAAGTATGGACACAACATTCAAGCTTGATACAGCACTGAATTTGGATTGTAATTAAATATTTGACACAGCATAGGTTTCTGACACAGAATGAAAGTGGTCTAAGAACTTAAAAATTTTCAATTTACCTATTCATACATGTGATGGACTGTGAAACTCAGATCAGGAGATTGGGAAATTTTGGTCAGGAGATTAGGACTCAGATCAGGAGGTTTTTAATCGACATTAATTTTGTTGTAAATGTAACCGTGTGCTGTAAAAATGGTCTTTTAAAGTGTGTTTTCTTCAACTTTCCAACCAATTTATTATGTTTATAGTACCCTTGTACTTATAAAGTTTCTCCATCTTTATATTCTACATGTTCAATCTAACATTGTTTTTTTCCAGTATGTTCTTTAAATTTTTTACTTCATATTCTATAAAACAATCATTGCAACCAGAACATTTGTTTAGCTGTCTGCAAATAGTTTTTATTTTTTTTTTTTTTCTCTTGCAAATAGTTTTTATTCGCAAACTCAGAAATTCATTCTATCTGTAAAGTTAGGGTCATAGTTATTATATAAATTTCAATTTAAGCCTTAAAAGGAAGTATAGAATCCTCAAATAATTTTCAAATTATTATTTTTTTATTTGTCCTAAGACATTTAAAATCATTTAATAACCATCCTTTTATGATTATTTGTTCAATTTATATTTTATTTATATTCTTTTAAAAATTTTCATTATTAAAAGGAAAGTAACTTAAAACAGGATAAATCAAGGGAAGTAACCCAATAAATACACAGTTTTTGTTACACAACGGCAGTTAGCCTGAGGTAAAAATCGTTGCTTACCAGTATGTTTGACACCCAAGCTGACAAGTGAAGCCATATAATTATGCATGTTAATTGATTTACAGGTAAAATATAACTTCAGGTAATGTCAGTTACACCAGATGCCTGAGATGTTATGTTGGGCAGAAATTTTTCATTCATGAAAAATTTCATTCACGGGATTTTTTCAACGGGAGGGGGGGGAGGAGACCCCTGAAAACGGGATTATTGTACTCGCGTCGGGAGGTTCACATGTATGCCTATTCAAACCATATCATTATTATTTGCTTTTATATATAAATCAGAAATAACCAATTTAAAATGGAAAATGTTAAAGAAAAAAAAGGAAAAAAAAAATCCCCCTCCCCAATTTTTTGAACCCCCTTATGATTCATCGCCCCCAAACTCAATCCCAGCTTTCCCTTTGTGGTATGGTACCTTGCAGTACAATTTCAGAGAGATTCATACACTTGAACACAAGTTATTGTCTGGAAACTAGAAAAATGCTTGTTTTTTGGCCCCTTTTTGGCCCCAAATTCCTAAACGTTTAGGGCAATTACCCCCAAACTCAATTCCAGCTTTCCCTTTGTGATATGGAACCTTGCAGTACAATTTCATAAAGATCCATACACTTACACACAAGTTATTGTCCTGAAACTAGAAAAATGCATGTTTTTTTTGCCCTTTTATGGCCCCTAATTACTAAAATTTTGAGGGAAAACCCCCAAAATCAATCCCAGCCTTCCCTTTGTGATATGGAACCTTGTAGTACAATTTCATAAAGATCCATACACTTACAAACAAGTTATTGTCATGAAACTAGAAAAATGCTTGTTTTTTGCCCCTTTTTGGCCCCTAATTCCTAATATTTGGAGGAAATAACCCCAAAAATCAATCCCAGTATTCCCTTTGTGATATGGAACCTTGTAGTACAATTTCATAAAGATCCATACACTTACAAACAAGTTATTGTCATGAAACTAGAAAAATGCTTGTTTTTTGCCCCTTTTTGGCCCCTAATTCCTAAAATTTGGAGACAATTACCCCCAAAATCAATCCCAGCATTCCCTTTGTGATATGGAACCTTGTGGTACAATGTCAGAGAGATCCATACACTTACACACAAGTTATGTCTGGAAGTTACAAAAATGCTTATTTTTGGCCCCTTTTGGCCCCTAATTCCTTAACTGTTAGTACCATAACCCCCAAAATCAATCCCCACCTTCCTTTTGTGGTATTGAACCTTATGGTAAAATTTCAATGAGATCCATTCCCTTAAACTAAAGTTAGAGTGCGAAAACTAATGTGTATTCGGACGACGACGCCGGACGACGACGACGACGCCGACGACGACGACGACGACGACGACGACGCCAACGTCATACCAATATACGACCACAAAAATTTTTTTGCGGTCGTATAAAAATCTAAACACATGTTTAGATTCAGCATATCAAAGAACCCCAAGAATTCAATTTTTGTTAAAATCAAACTAAGTTTAATTTTGGACCCTTTGGACCTTAATGTAGACCAATTTAAAAAACGGGACCCAAAATTAAAAATCTAAATACACGGTTAGATTTGGCATATCAAAGAACCCCAATAATTCAATTTTTGATGAAATCAAACAAAGTTTAATTTTGGACCCTTTTGACCTCAATATGAACCAATTTGATAGCGGGGTCCACAAATAAAAAAAATCTAAATACATGGTTAGATTCAGCATATCAAAGAACCCCATATATTCAATTTTTGTTGAAATCAAGCAAAGTTTAATTTTGGACCCCAATTTGGACCAACTTGAAAACTGGGCCAAAAATCAAAAATCTAAATACATGTTTAGATTCAGCATATCAAAGAACCCCATATATTCAATTTTTGTTAAAATCAAACAAAGTTTCATTTTGGACCCTTTGGACCTTAATGTAGACCAATTTGAAAACTGGATCCAAAATTAAAAATCTAAATACACGGTTAGATTCGGCATAACAAATAAATAAATGTGGTCAAAGATTTTACAAATCTAATGCGCCATACTGTGCAATTAAAGATTACTTCTTGAAATTTTTCAATATTTGAAATTTGAAAAAAAAATAATATTTGAAGAATAATTCTTTTTAATTTCTGAAATCTGAAATGAGAAAAAATTGACCCCCCACAATTTCTTTTTACCCCCCCCCCCCCCTTTTTCCCCCCAAACCATAATTACCCATTTAAATTTACCATAGTGCTAACTTAATCTATTTTATAATAGAATTTAAAATATAGTGTCAAATCTTTCATATGGATTTTTTTGTAAAAAAAAAAGATGCAACATTTGCAGATATTTTTACTGGTCTTCCTTTATAAATATGCATTTCTTTAAACATAATTTAAAAGCAGTGTAAGGGAAGTAACCAAAACGTTGTATTTGGATTACCTCCCTTACACTGTTTTAAATTATCTTAATTGTTCATTAACCATTACTTTATACATAATTTAAAAGCAGTGTAAGGGAGATAATTTCAACGATGTATTTGATTTATCTCCCTTACACTGCTTAAAATTATGTTTTGTACTAAAGTTTTTGTCCATTAACCAGGACAACCTTGTTTTTCCCCCTTTTTTGCCCCTAATTCTTAAACGGTTTGAGCCATAACCCACCAAAGCAAATCCTAACCATCCCTTTGTGGTATGGAAACTTGTAGTATAATTTCAGAGAGATCCATACACCGTTCCACAGTTATTGTCTGGAAACTAGAAAATGCTTATTTTTGGCCCCTTTTTGGCCCCTAATTCCTTAACTGTTGGTACCATAACCCCCAAAATCAATCCCCACCTTCCTTTTGTTGTATTGAACCTTATGGTAAAATTTCATAGAGATCCATTCACTTAAACTAAAGTTAGAGTGCGAAAACTAATGCGTATTCGGACGACGACGCCGGACGACGACGACGACGACGACGACGCCAACGTCATACCAATATACGACCACAAAATTTTTTTTGCGGTCGTATAAAAAGGAAACCTGTTCACAATTTGATGTCAATATAAAGGTAAATTTATACCAGTAATTTCCATTGTTGAGATGTAAAAAAATAAACCTGAAATTCTAACCTGATTTGTTGAAGTCTTTCTATTGCAATAACATAACAATGGTCCCTTATGTTGGACAATGATGAACTTCTCTTGTTGAAAAAACTTTCATCTAACAACCAAAACTTCCTGAAGAAATAAAATGGCAATTTTAAAGGAAGGTAAATCTTGATCCACTACAATTTTACATAATACAATTGACATGTTAAATGAGAAGTCTACCAACATGATGCATTATGATACATTGTTACCAAAGGTCTTGAAAAGGGTTTTTGATTATGTGATTACTTGGTCGTTTTTATAGTGATTATTTGATTACCAGACCAAATATTTCATGATTATTTGATTATTTGATAATCTAAGGACTGTATTTTTGATTATTTGATTATCTTGTTTAAAAAAACAAGCATTCTGAGAGTATTGCATGGCAATACATAGTCCCCTACCAGGTAAAAATTCATTATACTGGAACTAAATGCTAACTTGTTCTATAACTTGTTATGGTGTAAACAAAAAGTAAATATCATGTCAATATCTTCAAGCATGACTAAAAACAGTGTGGAAAACTGATTATATGAGTGAATTTTTCAAGTCCAAGGACCATAACTCTGCACAAAATTATTAGACCGAAACAAAAATTTGAACTTGATCTGTAACTTGTCATGATAAAACTATATACCAATTATCAATCAATATCTTATAAGCATGATGAAAGAAACATTAGATATGATTAATAGTTCTCTATAATTAGATATGATGTAAATTATAATCAAATATAATTATTAGTTCCAAATATTTTTTCTTTCATTTGTCACAAACTAATAAAGATTTGTAACTTATCTATAAAATGTCAACAACTTTTATCTATGCAATGTAATGTATTGAAATATATACATTAATAAAAATAGATTATTATCTAATTAAAGGATTTCTCTTCATATTTTATTTTTATATATATAGCATTCAGAAAATTAGTTTATACTAAATAACAAACAAACCTGCCAAAAAATTCTTCAAATAATTCAACAAAGAATCTTTAAAAAAAAGAGTTATTTCCCTTTGTACAGAAATATGGTTTAACATAGTACTCTAACATTAGATATGGTCCAGAGTTATGGTTCATAACTCTGGATTAAATCATCAGACCGGAACAAAATTCAAACTTGATCTATAACTTGTAATGATAAAACTATATACCAAATATCAAATCAATATCTTCAAGAACGAAGAAAAAAAGTGTGGAAAGCTGATTTGCCGGACTGACAGATGGACAGATGGACAGACGGACAGACGGACAGAGTGCAAACGTAAAGTCCCCTTCGACTTCATCAGTAGGGGACTAATAATTAATGATTATGTGATTTTATTGGCAAACAATTTGTGATTATGTGATTACTTGGACACCCCCACGAGGGGCCTCAGTCTTGTACTGTGGATTCTTTATAATTCCTGGGATACCAAGTTTTTGGGATTTCGTAAGTATAGATGAACCACAATTTTAATTGTACAACAAAGTACAAATTTTTCTTTGGGCTTGTATGCAGACTGTGGCAAAACCACAAAATCAATAATCCAAGAAAAAACAATGTTTCCTCAATCCACAAAAAATTGATACCAATGAAAATAAAAAAACCCACAGTTGTACATTTTCTTCTTCAGACCTGCAGATTTTTTGGTTCATGGGGGATTTCCCTGAAAAAGGTATTGACCCAACACTTGAAATCCTCAACTATATTAGCAAAATACTTCAAAACTGACATTCAAATGAGTAAAAACTAAATTCAAGCACATATATGATTCAAAACCATTTGACACGTGTAAGATATGCAGTAGGTCCTTTGTGCTAGATAACTCTTATAACAAGAATGTGTCCATAGTACACGGATGCCCCACTCACACTATCGTTTTCTATGTTCAGTAGACCGTAAAATTGGGGTCAAAACTCGTTTGGCATTATAATTAGAAAGATCATATCATAGGGAACATGTGTACTAAGTTTCAAGTTGATTGGACTTCAACTTCATCAAAAACTACCTTGACCAAAAACTTTAACCTGAAGTGGGACAGACGGACCAACGGACGGATGAACGAACAGATGAACAGACGCACAGACCAAAAAACATAATGCCCCTCTACTATCGTAGGTGGGGCATAAAAAGATATCAAAAGTTGGCAGGTATGATTTCGACCTCCTGGCCTTTTAAGCAATCACATGGTGAACACATGGTGGGATTATTTAAAATGAACAACATATAAACAGATCCAAATTTACATTTGAGATGAAGAAAATACTTACTGATCGACACCAAGATAAGCCATAAGAGCTACATCGCCTTGTTTATTTAATTTCTGCACTCTTTCCCAATATTTCTCGTCCATTTTGTCATTGTGTAAGGCATAAAGGTCAAACAAAGGGGGATAAATCTTGGGTAGTAAAATAGGATGTAATAAACCTCCTGCAGACACAACCGCTCTGTAAATAAAAATTCAAAGGTCAAAAGTGCAATAAATTTGAAACAAAAAGTAAAATAAATGGAGAATGTGTCCATGGGACACAGATGATGCCCCAGCTTGCACATAACGTTATAAAGGGGAATAACTCGAGAACGGTAAAAGTGACACCACCCAAATTCGAACTTGATCTGTGTTTTGTGGTAATAAGCACTGTGTATAAGTTTCATAACATTTGGTTAAGGCAAACTTAAGTAAGAGAACAGAAACCAATTTTGGGACGTACATTCGTACGGACAGACAAGGGTAATATTTAATGCATCCTCGGATGACGGCGGCGCCATAAAAATCATATTACTGCAATACATTATAAATTAATGGAGAATGTGTCCATTGGACACAGATGCCCCGCTTGCATATAATGTTATAATGGGACATAACTAGAGAACTGTAAAAGTGACGCCACCCAAATTCGAACTTGATCTGTGTTTCGTGGTAATAAGCATTGTGTATAAGTTTCATAACATTTGGTTGAGGCAAACTTGTTAGAGAACGGAATCTAAACATTCTGCAATTTTTCCATTTATAAAGGGGCATAACTCTAGAACGGTTAAAGTGACGCCACCAAAATTCAAACTTGATCTGTGTTTTGTGGTAATAAGCATTGTGTATAAGTTTCATAACATTTGGTTGAGGAAAACTCAAGTTAGAGAACAGAAACCAATTTTGGGACGTATGGACGTACGTACAGACTGACAAGGGTAAAACTTAATAATTGTAATATGTATATTACTTTTTCTACTGTTTATTTTCATTGTTTGCTATATAGTTATGTATGTTTGGAAGTCATTGGCCCATATGGACGTAAAGCGCTTTTTCAATCAAGTAAAGTATATCTTTTCCAAATTTTTTGCAATTTTTTTTCTAAATTGAATTTTAAGTAATTGGTCAAAGTTGGTGCATTTGTTTGGAACAGTAATATTTTAAGAAAAACAGTTAAAGAAGCAAGAAGAATTTACTCAAAGTCTAAAGTTCTGGTCCTAGTGAGTTCATGAGTACATGTCAGCAGGATAACCTACTTTTCACTTTTTGTAGACTGAAGGGCAATAACTCCATCTGTCTCATCATCACTGTCAATATCAACATATTTCTCTGATCTGATTTGTAGAGGACCTCCATTCTGAGGTAAATCTGGGAATAATATTCTAAAAACAAATAAAATAAGTATTTAGAAAATTAAAAAGATATATAATCTTACAAATTTAAATTGTAATTCATTTCTTTTTCCTCTTTTCTATGCCATTTCAGAATGAAATAATTCTGGGTAACATTTTCCAAACATCAACCAAAATGTTCTGATTCGTTCACAGCATCATAAACAATAGACATTCCACCAATGACGTAAAGTTATTTCTTTACGGTATTCTCCCTATGAAATTTCAAAAAAGTCTTCTACATTCTGAAAAGGTGAAATCTCTAATGATCTTTAACCTAAAGCAATTAAATACGATCATCAGAAATATCACAGAAAATAACTCCAAAAATGTTCAACAACATATTTACTTACTAAATAATTCTGTAAGAAAGATATCTATCAGTACAGACGTTTTTAAATACTGACAACAATTGTATTGACTGTTCAAATTAAAGACTTCAAATCATACTACCTTACAGTAAGGTAAATCCTTTTCACATAAGAATTTACTTCTGCTACAGCATGGTTGAGAAGTCGTGGATGTGCTCCAACACCAATATAAGCTGCCCTAAAGACATCCACTAGTCCGTCCATCAGCTTACCGAGTGGGTGAAATGTAATCTCAAATGCCTGGAAATAAATATATACATCATCAGCAAACCAGTCAATATGTAAGCTATTAATTTTCATAGTGAAACAATTTTGAGATAAAAAAAAACAAACAAACTAGCCAATATAGAAGGAAATTTTTATGTTTTTTTGAGCAAAAAGGCCTTGATTAAAAAAAAAAAGATAAGAGCATTTAGTCACCATATAAAAATAGAATATGATAGATGTTTGATAATATTTAATGTATGATCTGAGATTTGTGCATGACATGGGTTAGATTAAAACCTTGTGAAACACTACCACAGGGCGGACATTTTATGTCTGATCCCGATTTTAATCCCTTAAGACTTACAAAAGGCAATTATAGTAATCAGTTGGCCATCATATAACCAATGATTGACATTAAAAAAACGATATTAAACTTTACTTTGATATAAGTTCGATGTTCTGACGTAAACTGTTAAGAAATTGACAGTGCATCATTCAAAGTGTGCAACATCAGCGTACTAATATCTGCCTTAGACTCTTTATTTGTGCAAAATAACCTTGTCAAAAACTTTACTTTTGTTTTTAAAAAGCACATTTTCTAATACCGGATGTTGACTTGACAATGGTAAAACATGGACCAGAGACGGATATGTAAAATCTGTGTATGTTTACAAAGCACGATTGAGTTTAAGTAGCTCTTTCCTCGTTATTTATCAAGAAAATACTCAAAATGAACGTTAGATAAAGGTATCAATGATAATTTTAACATTTTTGAAGAATTAGGATGCATAATTAAATTTTTCAGCTGCGCACATGTGCACACGTGTACTAGTTCAAACAACGTGGTTCTGACGATTTTTCGTTTAAAACCTTTTTAAATTGTTCATCAAATCATATTTATAACGTATTTCTGATAATTTCAATCTTTTTGACTAAATTAATAAGATGCAGACCGCTGAAATGTAAGAAAATAACTTTAAATAGACGGATCAATGTCCGGTACAAAATAGTTTACCTGTCGCCTGAACAGGTAAATTTCAGCTGTCTGACAACTAATTAACCTTGATTAAAATGAGAAGGTATTAAAGTAGGGTTTGTTTTGATAGTACTTATTCATCATGTCACTTTTATGACCGGAAATGTGTGGCTATTTAAAGGCAAAAGGTCGGGTCAAAAAGATCGCATAAACTTTTTAAATTATGTTAAAATGTATTGACCGTCTCTTAAGAAAGCCTTGAAAACTAAAAGTAGATGTCCGTTTCATGCTTTTCCCAGACGGACAATGTCTGGTAAATTTATAAATGTCCAGAATATATGACCGTTTTGGAAGCCACGCACTACCATACATACCCAGTAGTGATATTCTGTTACTCCTTACCCTATCTAAATATCTCTTAATGTCATTATAATATTCTGTGGACAAAGTCCCTTTATTGTGAGGTGGAATCTTTTCTATTTCTTCAACAAATGATCCCTGGAACTTTTTCCATTTACTGGATACATTTCTAAAATAAAGATGATTAATTGATTGATATATAAATATTACACAAAGATTTACACAAAAACTAGAACAGTAAAAGTGATGCCACCTCAATTCAAACTTGATCTGTGTTTTGTGGTAATAAGCATTGTGTATAAGTTTCATAACATTTGGTTGAGGCAAACTAAAGTTAGAGAATGGAAACTAATTTTGGGACGTACAGACGGACAAGGGTAAAACTTAATGCCCCCTCCGCTACCACGGGCATAAAAATGTAAAGAACTGTTAAAATTGATCCTTTAAAGTGACATGTGTTCATTTATAACAGCACTGATGGTCCTTTCAAATTAATGTATGCTTTCGCTGGTTGCATTAAGCAGGTAGTCACCTAATACAGTTAAAATATATAGGGAAATATATATTTGGGGGATTGAAATGTAATTGCATGACTGTATATGCTTTATACATGTATAATTTGCATTTTGTTAGTCACATGTCTTTTTATTCACATTGTATTTATGAGGTTTTTTTTTATTAAAACAGATTAGAAATATCCATTCGAAGACAATACACGTTTTCCCAAACTACATATCAATTCAAATTTCAATACATCTTTCTACAAAGACTAATATCAGCTTAATATAAACTCAATATTTTCAAAATAAAATTGCATTTTATCTGAATTTTGAAAAGTTTGATTCTCCTTGTTGAATTGACAACAGTTTCTTTAGTGAATTTATACCTGAGACTTTAAATTTATTGTTCAATGAAAAACATTGAAGAGCTACAGTTCTAAGACTCTTACAAAAGAGTTCAATATTTTTAAATCTTCAGTGCTTCTTTTTGGGATGTTATGGTTAAGCTCTATATATGTTAAATGTGACTCATTGAATGTTTTGCGTTTACATCAAGTGATTTTATTAAATCAGAAAGGACAACTAGACTACATCATTCACAGCTTGCACTATTCTATGTCCATGTTCAGCAAACCACGAAATCTGGTCAACATCATAATTTGTCATATAATTTTAAAGAGTCCAACTCACAATGAACAAGTGTATTAAAGGAGTAGGTTCAATAAGGTCCTAAAATGGCCCCTATTTCTGGCTTAAATTTAAAATTAGGATTAATTGACCAATACCAAAATGAATCATAGCTAATACAATGACAATTTCGAAAATATAACTTTTTTTGAAAATTTACGTACTTGAGCTCTGTTCATGACGTCACAAATAGCACTCATTTTGATTTTCCACGAAAATTCAATGAAAATGGATAAATTTCCATTGATTTCTTGGATAGGAAACATAGAGCACAGGTGTCGACAAAAAAAATCTTTTAACATAATCCTTGGTAATGGCATTTGACATATTTGACACAAATATTTAGTTTGTCAACGCCTGCGCTCTATGTTTCCTAGGCATTAATTTGGTTGAAATCAGTACGATTTTGTCAAATTTTTCAAAAATCTCTGTTTTTGACCTATTTGGGATGTAAAAATCAACGCTTCAGAATAAAACTTTGACAAAAATACTTCTATTTAACTTCCTCACATGACTTTTCATCAACTTAAAACATTTTTATCCTGAAACATTGAACTTAAAAATCGGGGCCAAATATGGCCCTTACCGAACCTACTCCTTTCATGTTGATGTTACCAAAACTTCATGATAACGTAACCTTCACCAAAAACTTTAACTACAAAATGCACTAATTTCTCACAATCTTATTTGTAAGTTAAGTGAACCCTGTTATCCAGTTCAAAACTGTAATTTGGTAGACAATTTAAATATTTCACATCATAATAAACATGTGTACTAAGTGTCATGATAAAAGACCATAACCAAAAAACTTTAACCTGTAACCTGATAAAGGACAGATAGACTGACAGATCAGAAAACATAATGTCCCTCTTCTTTTGAAGTAGGGGCATAAATATCTATTTCAAAACCTAATATGGAATACCTTGACTTCATCTCATGTAAAACTTGTCGACCTTTTGACACCATTACAGCCACGCCTTCCCATGCTTTGTTACAGTCTGGCTTAGCCTGACCTTTAACCCCTAACACTGTACGACATTGTACAAACATTCCTTCCCACTTTTTGTCAGCGGGAACAGACATCTTTCCATAATGGCTGAAATAGATGTAAATTTATATAATTATGTGTTCTTAAGTGCCAATCTGCCTTAGAATCAGGCAGTGGTGAAAACATGACAAACAAAAATCCACTCAAGTTTACATTAATCTAAGTTCAAAACGTATAATGGTGCATGAATATAACTTTCGTTTCCTTTTCCTGATCTGGTATTTTAAGATATAATTTTGTTGAAATGCACTAGAAATTAACAATTAAGGGGAGCTAACTTCGTTATTTGCTATCATTTCAACTAAAAGTAATCTCGCGATTTCTCGAATTACCAGACATACAGAAATGAAAGACCTACCATTTTTAACTCAGGCTGAGGGTAACTTCAAATTAGGATGGTTAGGTCAGGAGGTTTTTTCCGGCCATGTTTTGAAATTCTTCTAAATTGCCTGATTCTTACAAAGACTGGCACTTAATGTAAACATAAAGGAATCTTGGTTGGGAACTAAGTGTCATGTGAATACCCTTCAGTTGTGTATAATATGCATTTTTTTTACCCTAGGGTATGTTTCCCAGAATATATGCCTACACAGTTTTTCTTTAAGCCTTTTTTCAGGTCTAAAATTACACTTTAATGAAACCAGGTGATAAGAGACTATTTTCAAAGCATAAACCTTTTTGTTAATTTTTGCATATAATGAATGTCCTACAAACTCAAATTAAATACTTGGTGAAAGTGACCTTTTTAAAACCTGTACAAAAATCATTTTACAAATCATAATTGTGGACATGTATACCTATAATAGCTAACATCAAGGTCATTTGATCTCTGGTGGCAGTTGTCTCATTGTCAATCATACCACATCTCCTTATTTCTATGTTAATCTCATATTGTTACCTGTATGACTTTGATCTCTCAAAAATTCTGTATTCAAGTCTATAGGAAATGGTTTGTGGCTCACAAAATCTCTTGAATAAAATGAATCTAAAGTAAAATCACTTCAAGAAATATGATTAGAGGTGGAATAATTTACCTTGATGGAATTTGTACTTTTAATTTTGCTTTCTTTGTCTCTTGTGGTACATCTGACTTTTTAAACATGCCATTTATTTTTAATCCTTCATTCCAAGAGCCAGAGAAAATCCCTTCTATTGAATCTCCTGTTGGCATGATCAGTTTCCCCTTTAAAATACAACATTACAATATTATTTCTTATTTTCTTATTGTAAACTTACATCACAAATATGATATCTGGTAAAAAAATTTAAACCTATTGTTATTTCTAACAGACAAAATGGCTATGGTACATTCATTTATGATTAGGGTTATTCCAAAATTGAAGGGGTTTGACAAAAAAAAATGCCTTCCAACCTCAAACCCCCCCAAACATCAATTTTGGAATAGCTCTAGATCTTATACTATAATTCACTGATACAATTTAAGTTAATTTTTTTCCAAACATTTTATTTCTGAAATATCTACTGACTTCTTTTTTGCCAAAAATCAAAAATTTCAAATTGTTCAAATGCTTGTATCTTAAAAAAATAAGCATTTAGACCTATCCTTATTTTTTCATAATAATATAACATAAATCTAAAACATTATCTATTAAAATGATGTTGATGATGAAAATTGTTTTATAAAATTATCTAAAAATCTTATGTTAAAGACATTAAGTGGATTGAAACATCACTTCTAAATGGCAGGGGTGGATTCAGGTGGGGGCGTGGCCCCCTAAAATTTGGGTTGTCCTCAGCTTAATAGAAGAATATTTCGATAATTTTACCTCAAAAATATTTTCGCCTCAGAAAATTCAGTTTGTGCCCCCCTAACCTAAAATCCTGGATCCGCCCCTAAATGGTTCTTATATAGGCTTCTTTGATCAAACATTTCTAATATATTTGCAAAGATACAGTTTGAAAAAACAATACTCTACCTGTATTTAATGGACCAATTCATCAAATATGGCTGCATGAGGTAATATCACTGTTTAAGATATTCTGATTGGCCTACACCTCATTTACGAGGATGCTGAGACTGCACAATGCAATTTACAAGAATGGAATTTTTTTATTTTTGAATTGGCCCATCAATTCTTTGCTTGATTTAAACAACAAATTTTAAACAAATACATGTTCTCTTTCAATTCTATCAGCACATTAATCTTATGAACTTCAAGCCAATATCACTGTCAAGAGTTATCTACCTTTCCCTGCAGCTGTGTTATGCCATAAAATTCTCCTTCATAGCAACTATTGTCGTAAGTTAACATCAATCCAAAACCCTGTAAACAGAAAATTAGAACTTAAATCATGTAGAGTTTCTGTACAACAAGAGCCCAACTTTTACGTGAAACATGATTTCAAATGTTTCTCCGTTTTCTGTATTTTCTACCAATAGTGTAAACATGGAGATATTTTGACACTAATTCACAATGTACATATTTAACAAGACCCATTTCTTTGATTAAAAGAAAACTTCAATAACATTATGTGTCTAGCAATTTCTTTGACGATTTAAATCAGGTTTTTACAGTCTTTCTACAGCGTTATGGGGAGATTACATTTGTCAAAAAATAAAATTAACAATTAATGATTTATGGTTTATGGTTTGATTTATGTTTTAAATAATCTTAAATATTTGACTATCATTTTAATACACCTTATCGCTATTTGTCCGCCATTACTTGACATGACACAGGTTCCCGTAAAATTTTGAGGTCATAATACAAAATATCTGACGCCACAATGGAAAAGTGATTGTTGTGTGACGTCAAAAGTTCAAGCTGGACAGATTCTCGGGTCAAGCGGGACAAATTTCCAAATAGCGATAAGGTGCATTATATTCTAGATGGCTTAATTCCCATGAAAAACAATAAGTTGAAAAGTCCTTAATCACTTTAAGTACACAATTGTTTTTTACTGTCACTGGATCCTTTCCACTGCTAGTGAACTATTTGTTACTAAGGGAACCATCATACTAGTAATTAGTGATTCAATACAGGTATGATTTAAATGGTACATTAACTTCCTTTATTATATCAAGTTGAAAAAACAATGTTATTGATCTAAAACTAAGCTAGCAACTCCCTTGTTTTCTATTTGGAATGTTTTATCTTTTGGGTTTTTTTTAATTTTTGGCCTGCATTGTGCCTGACAAGGGTTCCAGAAACATGTACTGTAAATACAGAAATTATTGTGAGCTTTTTATTATTGCAAATTATACGACTGAGTGAGAATACAATTAATAGGAATTCTGATATCTGATATATATATATATACTGTAGAAACATTAATTTACGTGGGGTTAAAATTTCGTGGTATTGTCTCTTTACAAGATTTCATGGGGATTTAATTTCGTGGTTTCCAGTAAATGGAAGTGATATTATATGTAGGGTAAATTTTCGTGGGGGTTTTAATTTCGTGGATATATTCTTTCCACGAAATAAACGAAATTAAATCCTTCACGAAAATTTCTGCTTTTACAGTATATACATATCTGTATGCAGATTTTTTTGAAATTGCAATAATTAATCTTGCATTTTTGTCCATCCTTCAAATATCGCAATAACAAATGCATGCAATAATTTCTGAATTTACAGTATTGTGTGTTCAAAATTAGAATTTAGAATATGCATTTTTATCTTTGTTGATAAATGCCAACATTTTCATACAAACCATAATTCTTATTAGCATGCCTTTTATGCATAACATACCTACCATAAGACTGTCCCTTTCAAAATTGCCTTCAAAATACATCCCATCCAAAGTAACTACAATGCTTTTACCATGCTTTACATCTTCATTCCACATACCCATATATTTTTCTCCTGTATGTTTAAAAAAAAATTTGAAATTTATGGACACAATTGAAAGTTATTTTGGAAAGACTTAATCAAAAGTTCTTTATTTGAACAAGGATCAACATATTTTTTGACAAGATAAAACTCTTCATAACCTCTAGGATAGACAATTTAAGAATAAATTCAGCAATTTTTTTTATCATATTGATTGAAAAAGTTAAATAACAAAAATACCGAACTCCTAGGAAAATCCAAAACGAAAAGTCTGTTATCAAATGGCAAAATCAAAAGCTCAAACACATCAAACGAATGGATAACAACTGTCATATTCCTGACTTGGTACAAGCATTTTCTTATGTAGAAAATGGTGGATTAAACCTGGTTTGATTGATAGTTGTTAAACGCCACTTTCAGCACTGTTGCCCCATTGTGGCGGGCAGTTTTTATTATTGGAGGAAGCTGGAGTGTCCAGGGAGAACCACTGACCTTTGGTAAGAAAACTAACAATCCTAGTTAATTAAGATTGAATTGGAACGCACCTGACACGTGCAGGATTATTTTTATTACATACAACACAACAAAATGCTAATAAATAATCAAAGACAATCTCTGATAATGTTCCTGTCTCTTTTTGTGCTATGATAAATTGGTTTGCAATTAAATGAGATTGGTTGGCAATTAAATGGAGTGCTCTGTTCATGCATAAGAAATAGGTCAAGCTGACCAGGTTTTAGCTTGAGCCTCCTATTTATTAAAGACCTATCCTCTGATAAAATATAATTCCTCTTTGACTTAAACTAAACATTTACAAAACATTTGAAGAACAGATGAATGAACCAACAGTCTTATCAACCATCATTGAAACAATGACCAATCAGTGGTAGCAACAAACATGACAAATCTCCTCTGCAACTTGTTCAGATCAAGTAAAATCATGTTTAACCACCCTCTCATAAACTGTTAATTTACCTTTCATGATGTCTTCCAATACACCATAGCCATGTCTATTGTCATCAGCCCATTCTCCGATGTATATACTGGTGGACTTTGGACTTGGACCTCCATAGTGGTATAAACCATGCCCATGCCTCTGGCCTTCTTTGAAGTGTCCATCATATACATCTCCATTTGAATATCTGTAATATGTCATAATAGATTATCAATTATTTTTTCAAACAAGAGGGTGTATCTCAGCTACAATCTCATCGATGGGTGACAGTGATATTTTCCTTATGACTGATGATCACTGATCTTTCCAATACTGTTAACCTTAAGGTTCATGTGACCTTTTATACCCATATATACTTACTTGACCTTTCCCATACCATGGAGTTGACCCTCTTTCCAATAGCCTTCCTGTGCCCTGTCAGAACCATCATCTTGTTTTATAGTAAGCTTCCCATGTCTGCAATCAAAATTATACTGTTGTAATAGAAAAAATACTCATTTATTTCTAATATAAGAATGTTTAGCTAAAGAATTTCTGTATCTTGGTATAATTTTTTATAAACAGGGTAATTTCCTTAGAAATAAATCCAGCAATAGAAAAGTTTTGTGTGTTATCTATGTAAAGCAACAAAATTGTGTTTACCAATTAATACAAAGGCCAAAATCTACAAAAATAGCTGAAAAGAGTGCACACGCTGAAATGTCTCTCTTGCTTTACTATTCATTATTCATTAGATTATTTCACCATGTTCAATACACGTATTAAATAAATTTAACATTATCAATGATCCATGAAAATAAGGTGAAGGTCAGATAAACCAAGCCAGACATACATGTTTATCTTACAATCACATTATATATCATAAACACCAAACATAGTTGACCTATTACTCATAGTATACAAGAAACAGACCAAACCATGAAAAATTTATATTGACCAATGAACCATGAAAATTAGGTCAAGGTCAGATGACCCCTGCCAGACAGACATGTATACCTTACAATCATTCCATACATTAAATATAGTTGACCTTATTGCTTATAGTATCTGAGAAACAGACCTTATTACTGAAACTGAACATTGACCAATAAACCATGAAAATGATGTCAAGGACAGATGATACCTGCCAGGCAGACATGCACACCTTACATTCATTCCATACACCAAATAAGGTTGACCTAATGATTATAGTATTAGAGAAACAGACCAAAACACAAAAACTTAACATTGACCAATGAACCATACAATTGAGGTCAAGGTCAGATAAAAACTGCCAGACTGACATATACACCTTACAATCATTCCATACACCAGATATGGTTGATCTACTGCTTAAAGTATAGACCTAATCATGTAACTTTAACCTTAATCACTGATCCAAGAAAAAAGGTCAAGTCACTTGAAACCCTGTATGACGCACATGTAGACCTTGCAAGGAACCCATATACCAAATATAGTTATCCTAAAATAAGTGAGAATTTCACAAAACAAAAAACATTTTGGAAAAAATCTCACATATAGAGCCAATTACCAATTTGAATCATGTTGACTTATTTGTAAATCTTTTATAGCTGATACATTTTTGCCTATTCAGATTCTGTCTATCTACTATATTTTACAAACACATGAATTTGTCATGAGCAATAACCTCTATAAGAGGACATTTTTTGTCTCAATGAATGGTAGGTCTGTGCCTTACCAGACTTTCTCTATCAGTAACCAAATCAAGATATTCAATGACTGCTTGCATCTTAACTGTAAGTTCTATTTTAAGCAGTTGCAGCCATATTTTATAGACACAAGTTTTAAAGTAGACACCCTAAGTATGATTGTGATTAACTTTTATTCAAATTGACCCAGTGGTTTTAGTGGAGATAATTTTAGAGAAAAAAGTTATTAACAACGATGGATTCTAAGTGATGGCAGATGGGCAAGGTGTTATTAATTTTACAGACGAAATGTTGCAGGTCTTAATTCCACCAAACAAACAAACCCATGAAGATAGCCATTTTTAAAAGCAGCTTCCCATCTATCACTTTCACAAGTTCAATTAATATTTTACAACCTATCTACTTTGAAATCAACACTTCATTTGCCAATTTCAGCTATATGATGTATCATTGTTGATTTCACTTGGAATGATACTGCTTTCATCTCACTAGACAATTTCTACCGAAGTCTTGTGTTGAAAGTTTTACTTTCAGATTCAAAATGTAAATATACATTTTGAAAATCAGAAAATATAAAAATTGGATGCTGTTTTTTTTTAAAATTTATAGAAAATAAAAGCAAGAGACCATCACATTTTTAGCACTTCACGCTTCATGCAAAACGTGATGGTCAATTGCTTTCATTTTGTTTAAAATTTAAAAAAGCATCTTTCAATTCTATAATAAAATTAAAATTTCCGATAGTAACATAAATCAACATTGCAATACATACCCGTGTAGATGGCCATCTTTAAAATTCCCATTATACTTTCTACCATCACTCCATTTCATGTCTCCTCTGAAATCAAAATTAATTTTTTAATACTATCAAAATATGTTAAAAAAAAATTAGGTTCTAGCAAAGAGACATTATTTAGCTTCTGAAATTATAAACAAGAGTGGACACACTGAAATGTCTCGCCTGTTTTAGTGTTCATAATTGAATTTATGTTGAAAGTAAAAAAAATAAGTTTATATAAGCTTTACATTAAATTAACATTTTAATGATGAATGAACATGAAGTCAAGGTGAGATAAACCCTATCAGACAAACATGTAGGCCGTACAATAATTCCATACACCAAATTTATTTAACATATATTGCCTAAAGTATCTTAGAAACAAATCTCATTGAGGAAACTGAACTTTTAGAAAAAACAGCATCATAAAATCACATGGGATACACTGTTGGCTAATAAATCACAGGCAAATATAGCAACAACATTTGAGTAAATAAAATCGCATTATACAAATTTTTTTTTTGAGACATTAAGTCAAATGACTACTAAAAGCAAACTTTGAAATTTCTTATGAAATAATTTTTCATCTAGATTTAAGGTTCATCAGAAGGGATTGACAAATATGGCCATTTTTTTTTTATTTCCTCTTGAGTACAGACAAACCTGTGCACAAGGAAAAGTTTTAAGGCATTGCAGAAACTGGATAAATATTTGTCAATTCCTTGAGATGAACCTGAAAGACCCCCCCCCCCCCCCCCCCACCCAAAAAAAAAAAAAAAAAAAAAACTAAAATTATCTTCAATCTTTGATCAAAATATTGTAAAAAGTCGTATTTTCATATTATCTATTTATCTATTTATGTTGCTATGCTAAAATATTTTTTACTTATCTCAATACTTATCTTATTTCATATGTATCAAAAATCAGTAAATGTGATTCTGTTGTGCAAACAAAATTTCAAAAGTTCTTCAATCTGTACATATTCAGCCAATTAATCTTTATGAAGGGACTGGAGTGAACTGTATTCTATGTTAAACATTCATGCATGAGTGACCTTATTTTAACATTTTCACACCTTCCAATGTTTTTGTTAATCACGGTTTAGTAATGATCCCTTAAAAGTTTTTATTATTTATTATCATTATTAATGTTATTTAAAGATTTTTATAAAATAATCTATTTCAATGTAAGTAATCAGCAGTTAAATAATAAAATACATTCCATACACCAAATATAGTTGACCTATTACTTATAGCATCTGAGAAGAAGACCAAACAACAGAAACTTAACATTGACCAATGAACCATGAAAATAAGCTCAAGGTAAGATGAAACCTGTCAGACAGACGTGCACACCTTACAATCATTCCATACACCACATATAGTTGACCTATACATGTAACTTATAGTATCTGAGAAAAGGACCAAACAAGAGCAACTTCACATTGACCAATGAACCATGAAAATGAGGTCAAGGACAAATGACACCTGCCAGTCAGACATGTACACCTTACAATCATTCCATACACCAAATATAGTTGACCTATTGCTTATAGTATTAGAAAAACAGACCAAAACACAAAAACTTAACATTGACCAATGAACCATGAAAATAGGTCAAGGACAAATGACACCTGCCAGACAGACATGTACACCTTACAATCATTCCATACACCAAATATAGTTGACCAATGGCTTATAGTATTAGAAAAACAGACCAAAACACAAAAACTGAACATTGACCAATGAACCGTGAAAATGAGGTCAAGGTCAGATGAAACCTGCCAGACTGACATGTATCCCTTATAATCATTCCATACACCACATATAGCTGACCTACTGCTTGTAGTATCTGAGAAACGGACCTAATTACGTAACTTTAACCTTGATCACTGATCCATGAAATGAGGCTGAGGTCAGGTGAACCCTGTCTGATGGACATGTAGACGTTGCAAGGAACCCATATACCAAATATAGTTATCCTATTACTCATAATAAGTTAGAAATTTACATAACAAAAAAACAAATTTTTTTTTTCAAGCAGTCGCTGAACCATGAAAATAAGGTCAAGGACATTGGACATATGACAGATGGAAAGTTCGTAACATAAGGTATCTGCATACAAAGTATGAAGCTTCCAGGTCTTCTACCTTCTGAAATATAAAGCTTTATACAAATAGTTTACGCCACCGTCGCCGCCGCCGGATAGTAATACCTATGTCTCACTTTCTGCGACTTTCGTCGCAGGCGAGACAAAAATAGTATCATTCAAGCCGTTCAAAATTATGCTAATTTTATGAATAAATGAACAGATTGTCAAAACTGTGGATTCATTTATTTTTGTTGATACCTGGTGAATTTGCAAGGATTAAGGAAAATGTATTTTCATGGATATTGATTTAGTGGTTTTGTGAAAGTCTGCATACCAGCCAGTATTGAAAATTTTTACTTTGTTGAACCTTTCAATTTGAGGTTAACTTTTACCCACCAAATCAATGAAAATTGGTATCACACGAATAATAATGAATACTCAGTAGTTCATGTCTGATGGGGCAGGTCCAAACAATCTACATGAAAATGAGATGTGCCAATGCTAATACAACTGCATAACTAAATATCATTGACTTACTATTAGTGGTTACTCTTTAACTGACCTAATCACAAACTTAAAACAAATTACTGACACCTGTGTCATAAACAGCAATTCTAAGCTTAGTCTCATGGACATTGTTGAGGGGAGACAAAAAGTGCCACATTTAGGTAGATATTGAAGCATCACCCAATCAGGTGAAATTAATTCAGTAATAATAGTTTCTACATACAAGCCATGTATTTTTCCGTTCATCCAATATCCTGAATAGGTGGCGTCTTTGTACACTGGATGTTTTGTAAACGTGAAAGAGGCTTGTCTGATATCAGGTGGTGTCAAACGTTCCGTACTTCCACGACGACCAACTGTCTTCTGGGATGACAACACTTTATTTACTGCTGAGTTCAATGTCATCAGCCATTCTGCCTGGAGAAGAAAAATAAGAAATAAAATTTATATTCTGGTTGTCTCCCTTTGCATTCAAGTAACAGTGCAATCTACAATCTATAAATTTCATGTCCTAATATTAGCATAAGCATTTGAGCATACATTCTGTGTTTTACCCTGCCACTTTCTTTGTGTGCCTGTCCCAAGACATGAGCCTATAATTCTTTACTGCTAGTCATATTTGTTTTGTCATAAATCAGGCTGTTGGTTTTTTGATTTGAATTATTTCACATTTCGTCATGTTGGGACATTTTATAGCTGACTATACAGTATAGGTTTTGCTCTTGTTAAAAGTTGTTCAGTACCCTATTGTTGCTTGCAATAGGTTTAATTGTTAAAATACTATTTAAATAAAAATTCATAAGGGGTTCCGCGGAAACCTCTGTCTCGCCTATGATTGCTGCTGTCAGTGTAAAAGTGTAAAGTTGACTTAAAAAGTGTCAGAGTCCATTTATCAGTAAAATACAGAATTTATAAAAAAAAATTCAAACTTTTTCTTTAGGTGCTATTTCTTGGTCTTGAAGATTAGCTTCTGTCCAAGTTTCATAACAATCCATGAAGGTTTACAAATTTATCATGTAAAAAAAATTTAATCCCAGACGTTCTGTAAATGTTAACTGTAAAAAACTAAGTCCATCTATCAGAAAATGCTGAAAATGAAAAAAATATGTTTTCAAAAGTTACCTTCAGATATGATCACTTTATCATAAAAAAGCTGCTGTAAAAGTTTCACAAAATTGTATGAAGGTTTGACAAAGTAGTTGATGTGTAACAAACTTTAACCCCAGACAATCTACTTGTTAACTGTAAAAAAAACTAAGACCATTTATCAGTAAAATACGGAAAATGAAAATAAATATTTTCAAAATTTTGATGTGGATACTGTATTTTGGTCATTAACAAGCTTCTGTCCAAATTTCATAAAATTCCATTAATGTTTGACAAAGTTATTGATGACTGAAAAAACTTTAACCTCAGACTAAATCTGAATGTTAACTGTAAAAAAAATAAGTTCATTTATTAGTAAAATACGGAAAAATGAAAATAAATATTTTCAAACTTTTGCTCTGGATACTGTATTTTGGTCATAAACAAGCTTCTGTCCAAATTTTTTGAGAAAGTTATTGATGTCTAAAAAACTTTAACAACAGACTGAACCTAAATGTTGAAGCCGCCAACATTTGAATATAGGATCGTTATGTCTCGCTTTCGCGACATTAATGTCACAGGCATGGCAAAATAATTAAAATCCAACAACTTAGTAAAAATGGTCAAATTAAAATGAAGGTATAGAATGGTCAAAAGAATATGACAAAAATTATCCTACCAAGTGTGCAAGCTTTCTGGTAAAAGGTCTCAGTGTATTGATGTACTTTAGATGGACAGAAGGACAAAAGGATAACACCTGAGCGAGTGTAGGGGGACAATAAATCATATCAGTACCAAAGCACTAACTACACAGGCTGAGTGAGCTGATGATACCCTTGGGGACTAACAAGCAGTGGTATCTAAACAGTGCCAATAAAAGAAGTTAACACTTTATAAATTACTTTCTCTAATTCTTCGTCAATTTATTCCTTTCTGCACCCATTGTATAAAAAAAATTTAATCAATGTGTGGTTCGTTTGATCTCAGTTCTTCATTGGTTAAAATCCGATTATGACGTCGAATTTTCTTGCTTTCCTCTGAATTTCCTACTGTCACGGCATGAAAAAGGGCGACCATGCCTGATGACGTCACATAGAAAGAACACATCTTTTTGCAGATCATTCGAAAAGAAGGAATAAATTTGCCTGCGTATTGTTTGAAAATCATTAGAGAAACAGATTCCACCACCAAATTTCGTGTTATACGATATTTATCCACTCTCGACAGTTAAATTTTAAATATTTAAAACGCTCGGCAAGCCTCGTGTTTTAAATTTGAAAATTTAACTGTATCGAGTGGATAAATATCATATCACACTCGATGCAGTGGTAGAATCTATACTTACCCTTTCTCCTGCATTAGATGCTGTCAAAACCATTTTATCCTCTGGGAATGTCAAAACAATCATATTTCTGAAATAATCGTAAATGTTTACTTTTGCATTTAAAGTATCTGTCATTGAACAATTGTAGTCAATCTAATTTTTTGTTTTGCAATTCCAACATCTAAGAATATAATTTACATGTAAATTGAATTCTCTTCAATATTAGAATTTTAGGTCAACTTGCAATGTAAGTTTTTCAATTGTGTGTACTTATTTTTGAGGTTTACCAGAAAATCATTGTTATTGCTCAAATGTTGATCGATCTAATTCAGTAGCAGAGCGGGATACAATAGTGGGATGAATAAACAAATGATTGACTCCACTATCATAATATACAGATAGCTTCATAAAGCAGGAGGTCTATAAAATAAACAAACGAATGTATGTACCAACACAACAATCAATATATAACTTTGCTTTGCTTAGCTGGGGTATACTGTAAATTCAGAAATTTTTGGGTGCATTTATCATAGCGATTTTTGAAGAATGGACAAAAATGCGAGATAAATTATTGCAATTTCAGGCAAATCTGCATACAGATATATTAATGAGATATTAAAATTTTCTTATTATTGCAACATTCACACAGTCACATTATTCACATTAATAAAAATGTTGCAATAATTTCTGAATTACAGTGATTAATACTTACTCTAATTTTCCTCCTGTTGGAGCCTCAATCCAGGCAGTTTCTAGTTGAAAGACTTGAAAGTTGTAACCCTGAAAAATATTAATCAAGTACTTGATGCTAAATTGTTACTGACCTTAAAGAAGACATAAATGGTATAATTATGCATCTGCAGAGATAAATTACAAATTTTAAATTTAATTAGAACTTATTAATGTGACATGGATATGGTAACACTTTTGACACATGCATAAATCAAATAAATGTACATGGCATTAACTTCTGATTTTTTGCTCTATTTAAAGAAAGCACATCTTCACCAGCATTTAAACATTAAACAAGAATACATGCATTGCCTTGCTAAGAATACTCCCAGTCCTAATTCTAACTGATCACTGTCTAGCTGCTGACCAAATATAAACTCCTTCTGTTAAGCAGTTTCACAGTAAAGTGTGACAAAAACATTTGTTGGAAGAAAGTACAGATGGACGGACAAGGTGATTGCAACATAGCCCCCATTTGTAGACAGGGGGTATAATATGTTATAATATTCTAGATAATGGAGTGTGTGTCCGAGTGAGAAAACATGTGTAACACTGCCGCATTTTTGCGCCTGTCCCAAGTCAGGAGCCTCTGGCCTTTGTTAGTCTTGTATGTTTTTTAATTTTAGTTCATTTATATGTTTCGGAGTTTAGTGTGACGTCCATTTTCACTGAACTAGTACACATTTCTGTTTAGTGGCCAGCTGAAGCCCGCATCCAGGTAAGGGCTTTTCTCGCTGTGTTGAAGACCAATTGGTGGCCTTGGGCTGTTTTCTTCTCTTTGGTCAGGTTGTTGTCTCTTTGACACATTCCCCATTTCCATTCTCACTTTTATATGTTTATGCTATAAACAACAGTAACTCTTGAATTATATGTATGTTCATATAGAATACTGTAAATTCAGAAATTATTGCGAGGTTTTAATTAATGTGAATATTGCGACTGGGTGAGAATCGCAATAATAAGAACATACATTCTGATATCCGATGCATATATCTGTATGCAGATTTCTTGAAATCGCAATAATTAATCTCACATTTTTGTCTATTTTTCAAAATCAAAATAATAAATGCACACAATAATTTCTGAATTTACAGTATTACTTGAAACAAAGCAATCATACCTACTGTCTTTAAAACAAAATAAATATTTTAGTTACATAGACTTTGCAATACAATAAAAACCATATTTATATATATATTTGGTAATGCTATTATAGTTAATTATGTACATCAAACGGTCAAGGGTAAAAATTAAACAATATTATCCCTCTAGAAAAATATAAAAACTGGTTTGCAATTTTTGACAGAATATGATCTTCAAATGAAAGTACAGAATATTTTCAGATGTGTATAATTTTATCTAATTCTTGCTTTTCATTTTTTATAGAATATTTATAGATTACTGAACTTTAATAAGACTAATTGAGGGAAGATTAATGAAAAACTAGAGGCTCTAAACAGCCTGTTTCGCTCACCTAGGTTTTTGTGCATCTTCAATAATGGACATTCTCTAACATTTTAGAGAAGAAGAGAATTCATGACAAAAAGCTCTTTATTGTTGATCTTGTATTGCTGATCAAGATATTCGGCAAAAATGCAAAAAAATCTGTACAAATCGTCATTAAAGAGTAAGAACTCCAATAAGGAGTTGACTGACAATTTCTGCCATCTTGTTTTATTTGTAAATCTTGTCTTGCATATCATTATAGGTAATTAAAGTGTCTATCTATCTATTGTAGTTTTCAAGATAATAGGCAAAAACACTAAAAATTGGTAAAAATTGCATTTAAGAGCAAAACTTAAATAAGGAGTGAACTGACAATTTTCGACCATTAGCCTTATGTATAGATTTCGACTTGCTAAATATTTTTGCTATTTAAAGTTTCTATCTAATCTATCTATTATAGTTTGTTAGATGATAGACAACAATGCAAAAAGTTGATAAAAATCGTCATTAAAGGACAATTAATCTCCAATAATGAGTCGTCTGACGATTTAAGCCATGTGACTTATTTGTAGATTGTGTCTTGCTTGTCCTTTTTGCTATTAAAAGTTTTTCCTTATCTATTATAGTTCTCAATATAATAGGCAAAAATGAAAAATGGTTAAATTCGTTATTTAAAGGCAATAACTCCTATAATAAGTCGTCTGACACTTTTAGTGCAGATGGACAGTAGGTAGATCTAAACATTCTTAACATTTCTGCCCTGTCAGATTTTCTCTATTAAAAGTGATTTTCAAGATAATAGACAAAACTTATGTTCTATTTTTAGTCATGTCAGCCATGCTGTTTGGCAGGCAGGGGTCATCAGGCACTTTATTTTTACAAGATATCCAAATAATGATTGTGGTTAAGTTTTATTAAATTTGGATCAGAAGTTTTAGAGAAGAAGATTTCTGTAAAAGTTAACAAACGATGACAACAGACACCAAGTGATGAGAAAAGCTCACTTTGTGCTCTGGGCCAGATGAGTTTTAAACATTTACATAATTAAATTTTTGTTCAAGCCACCCAACTATTAGGCACCACGCCTCATACTAAAGCACCAAATGTTTGCATAATGATGACCTGCAAATCTTCAAGCAGGCATTAGTAGCTCCTTCAAAGTCACAATTAAATATCTTTCTTTTAGTCATTTTTTTCATATTATCATTTGCAAAATAAAAAAAAATAAAAAAATCTGACATCAATTAACCAATGAAAAAATGTACAGAAATACTACAAAGTACAAAATGTATCTAGATATTTTTAATTTTCATGCTTACAAATAATATATCATACCAAATCAGGGGATATTTTAAAAACCTGCAAAAATATGTGTAAACAAATCTGCTAAAAATCTATTATAAATAAAATATTCTGTGGAATAAAAAAGTAAAAAGCACTGGTTCTGTATTTCAGGGAAAATAAGACTCCTTTCTAAGAAAGATGATGAACCAGATTATAATTTGCAATTTGCTATTTCAGAATTTATTGCATTATACATGTTATATGTAATGTTTTTTAAAGTGTACACCATAACATTGTGATTGAACAACAATCTAAACAATGGAAATTCAACAAAAGCTGTGACGCTGATCTGATTTTGGGGTATGAAGAATGAAATTTCACATAGATTATGAAAGAGCGAATCATAAATTTGCCAAATTCATGAAGTATAATGAAATGTTAGATTAGGAGTAGCCAAATACCAGTCCTGCTTTTCATAAAAAAATATGTTGTTCTACTTGCTTTCAAAAATTTTTGATTAGTTTGAAAATAAAAAATTATGCACTTTTCTTTTCCCTTATTTTTTAAAAATAAAATATGGAATTTGCATATAAAATGTTTTTGGTTATAACTCTCTTCCTCAAATATTCTAAAAAAATAATGAAAACAGTCAATATATTTTTTTCTCTGTATAGTTTAAGCTAATCAACAATCTTTTTGAATATTCAGAAGAAAAAAAATGCTCTTTTTGTTGGTGCACAAAACATCCAAGGAACAACTAATGAATAATTATGGTGTGGCCTTATATAAAAACAATATATCTATCTCACCTGTACATGTATAAACATGTCATTGAACAAGAGGAAAAGGTGTGAGGAAAACCTTCCCCCTCCCTGTAATACTAGTGGACTCTTCTTACTGTCTTTTATCAATCTTCTACTTGGAATCTTCACTGCATCCTAAAAGCAGACGAGAAAGAAAAGTAGGCATAAAATCCTCTGTGTTGCTCAGTCTTTAGTTTTCTATGTTGTGTTTTGTATACTTTGTTTGTCTTATGATCATTTTTCATTTTTTGCCATGGCGTTATCAGTTTGTTTTTTGACTAGTGAGTTTGAATGTCCCTTAAGTCTCATTCGCCTCTCTTTTAAGCTTATTAACTAAACATTTAACAGCTCATTTTAAGTCTACATGATTCCCCAAAATCAAGACAGGTTTAGAAGATACCATTCTTGAGGTCGTTATCCAACATTTTGAAGAAAGAGATTACTTTTTATGAAAAAATTCAACAGATGTTTTTTTTTCTACATTGACTAGAGGTATAGGGGGAGGGTTAAGATCTCACAAAACATGTTTAACCCCGTCGCATTTTTGTGCCTGTCCCAAGTCAGGAGCCTCTGGCCTTTGTTAGTCTTGTTTGTTTTTTAATTTTAGTTCAGTTATATGTTTTGGAGTTTAGTGTGACGTCCATTTTCACTGAACTAGCACACAATTTTATTTAGGGGCCAGCTGAGGACCACCTCCGGGTGCGGGATTTTCTCGCTGCGTTGAAGACCCATTGGTGGCCTTCGACTGTTGTCTGCTCTTTGGTCGGGTTGTTGTCTCTTTGACATATTCCCCATTTCCATTCCCAATTTTACTCATAAAACACAGGTAGAGCACAGGTTAAATAAAAATGTAGGTAATCAGTCAATAAATAGGGATTCCATTGGACTTCTAGAAATCTTTACACAAACAAGACTAATACTGTGTCTGGACAAGCATCACTGCATGCAATTGATTAATGTAACATGTATACTGAGGCTTATATGATAATTCCCTTTCATTGAATCCAAGAAAACTTTCATGAAATTTTTCGTTGTACAATGAGTATCGTAAAATTTTGAACTACCTGCAAATAGGAAGTGGCTGCACAGCATATGCAAAATTTGCTACAATATACAACTCAAAATTATCACTGCAAACCAAAATTGAATTCCTTCCCTTTCATACAAGCCAAAAAAGTTTTCTATCCAAGGTATTTTGGATTGACAGAGCGGAGTGGTTACTAGACCTGCTTTCTTCATTAGTCATTGGGCATGTTTTTTTTGTTCTTCGGTAGTGAGCCAGAAGAGGTCCATTTCTGTTTTTTTGCATAGGGAATTTCTTCTGGCTCTCTTCCACCTCTTCTTTTTTGATAGGTAGTTTAGACGGCAGAGGCACATAACAAACATGGCGTCGTTTAGTCTAAATGACATTAATAAATTTATGAATGCAGATATATTAGAATGTGAGCTGTGTAATAAACGTTTTTATGGTATGACAGTCTTAGTAGGACACCCCTGCAGGATGATAAGCTGGATAAATATAACAACTACAGGGACAATAGCAGTTAGGGACGACTTTTTGATATTCTAGGGAAGGGATTTTGATTGATTGGTGTTTATCGCTCCTTTCAACACTAAGTTTGGGCTATTCCGTGGTGGTCAGTTTAAATTTATAATTTATAGATAAATAAATAAATAAATAAATAATCTTCATTTCAAGAGGATAATCTAATTAGTTAAAACTAATATTCCTGAGAGTCCTCAAAATAATAATAACATATTTATAAGTACATACAGTATTATAATGATATATTATACACAATATACAATTGTATCTAGATAATAATGAAAAAGCATATTAATTTGCACAATTGATGAAAAATGTGTAACATTTTGTTTTAATAGATACAAGTGTATTACTCATTTTTATTTTATTTGGTAAACTGTTCCATATTTGAGAACCTGAATATGTAAATGTTTTATTTAAAAAGTTTGTTTTTGGTTTTGGAAGATTTAATAGTTTTTCATTAGCTGAACGTAAATTCATAATTTTGATTACCATTAAATTTAATTTTTTTTTGTAAATAGTTAGGAACCATATCATTTAATGATTTAAATACAAGTATTGCCTTTTGATATTGAATGCGTTTTTCCACATTTAACCAGTTTAAACTATTAAACAACAAACTGGATGATGTCATTATGTCAGCTTATACTATAACCCTAGCAGATTTCTTTAATAACTTATTAAGTTTATTTATTCCACTTTCATAACAACTTCCCCATATATTGCAACAATAATCAAACAATGGCAGAATATAAGCATTAAAATAAATAAAACGTATATGCATAGGTAAATATTTTCTTATCTTTTGTTATAAATTGATTCTATTTGATATTGTACATGACATTTTATCTATTTTTGCTGATTCTAATTTAGGTTTTTGTCGATATATAAACCGAGAAGTTTTTCACAATCTACATTCTCTATTTGTTCATCTGAAATTTTGATATCTAAACTGTTCCCAGTTGAATAAAGCCTCTGTTTTGAACCAATAATCATTGATTTACACTTTTTGGCATTTAGTTTCATACAATTTTGCGAACACCAGTTTTCAATTACATGAATATCATTTTGAAGGTTAGCAGTTAACTGAAGTACATCATTACCTTTACTATGTAATGTAGAATCATCTGCATATAAATCTATTAATGAATTTTCTATGTTCAGTTGTAAATCATTGATATATAAAATAAATAACAGAGGGCCAAGGATAGAGCCTTGTGGTACACCAGTTTTTATGCATTTAGTATTAGACATGACGTTATTGACCTTAACTTGTTGACTTCGTTCAAACAAGTATGACTTAAACTAGTGTAGTGTACAGTTTGAAACATTATAATATTGAAGCTTTTTTAATAAAATAATATGATTAACAAGATGAAGGATGGGGAAGGGAAGAGGGCATTATTAACTTTTTTAATCTGTCGCTTATAAAGCCTATTTTTCAGCTCTTACCAGCCAACCTTATTCATATATGAAATCCTCTTGCCCCCCTCCCAATAAATGAATGAATATCAAATAGTTTTTCTTCTTATTTAACACAAGTTTAAATTGATTGATTGTTTGTTGCTAATTTTTAAAGCCCAGTGACAAATATGTCATGCATGTTCAGGACTCGGTTCAAGAAACACGAGTTTAAAAGTCAGGTAAATAAATAAAAACGAAGAAATGTATGATTGCTAATGAGGCAACTAACCACTGGAGTTCAAATATGAAGTGGATGTAAGCAATTATACGCAACCGTAATTAAGGCCTTCAACAATGACAAAACCCGATACTGTCAAAAGGCCAGACGTGAAAAGTGTGAGAAACAATTCAAACGAAAAAACTAACGGCCTAATTATACATAACAAAATAATTTACAAAATATCAAATATGAGTCAAGACATGAACCAACGACAACAACTAAACTACAGGCTCCTGACTTGGGACAGGCACATTAAGAATATGGCAGGGTTGATATAAAAACGAAGATTGCAAATGAGACAACCCTCCAAAAGAGACCAACTGACATAGCAATTAACAGCTATAGGTCACCGTACGGCCTTCAACATTAAGCAAAGCCCATACCGCATAGTCAGCTATAAAAGGCCCACACAAATCACAAATGTAAAACAATTTAAACAAGAAAACTAACGGTCTAATTAATGTACCAAAAAATGAACGAAAAACAAATATGTAACACAGTAACAAACGACAACCACTGAATTACAGGCTCTTGACTTGGGACAGGCACATACATTTGATGTAACAGTACAATAACATGTTTGTGAGCGCTCAACTGTCCCCGATGCTTGGACAGTGGTGTAAAAGTACAATATAAGAACAACCCGACAAATCAATTGAACTTAGATTAACTCAAAAGATCGGTACAAGACACACACAAAAAACTTACATTAAGACAATAGACACAAAGCACCGAAATAAGAGTATTTGCAATTACTGGAAGTTTGTTCTCCCAGACTGAAGTATCAATCAGTACACAACCAACGGATTTATTAAAAAAAAAGAGAAAAAAAAAAATCAGTCTGAGAAATGTCTGGTATACATTGTATACTTGCATATACCGGGTAAATCCATATACAATGAACATTTTTGAAAAGTGGTGGTCCGAAGGTTTTGACCATCGAAATTATGCAATAGAAATAATAGTTAGGACCAGAAGATTTTCTTCAAGGACCACAAGAGAAAAATGATTTTGAGAACTTTTTTTTTATACAAAAATAATCCAGTTTGGTTACTTTAAACTAGAGGCTCTAAAGAGCCTGTGTCGCTCACCTTGGTCTATGTGCATATTAAACAAAGGACACAGATGGATTCATGACAAAATTGTGTTTTGGTGATGGTGATGGTGATGTGTTTGTAGATCTTACTTTACTTAACATTCTTGATGCTTACAATTATCTCTATCTATAATGAACTTGGCCCAGTAGTTTCAGTGAAAATTATTTTGTAAAAATTTACAAAATTTATGAAAATTGTTAAAAATTGATTATAAAGGGCAATAACTCCTTAAGGGGTCAATTGACCATTTTGGTCATGTTGACTTATTTGTAGGTCTTACTTTGCTGTACATTATTGCTGTTTACAGTTTATCTCTATCTATAATAATATTCAAGATAATAACCAAAAGCTGAAAAAATTTCTGAAAATTACCAATTCAGGGGCAGCAACCCAACAACGGGTTGCCTGATTGGTCTGAAAATTTAAGGGCAAATAGATCTTGACCTAATGAACAATTTTGTTTTGAAAGATTTGCTCGAAATGCTTTGGGTTTAGATATATGAGCCAAAAACAGCATTTTACCCTATGTACTATTATTAGCCATGTCGGCCATCTTGGTTCGCGGGCAGGGTCATCAGACACAATTTTAAAACTACATACCCTAATGATTATTGTTTACAACTTTGGTTAAATTCATCTTAGTAGTTTCAGAGAAGATTTTTGTAAAAGATAACAAAAATTTACGAAAAATTGTTAAAAATTGACTATAAAAGGGCAATAACTCCTTAAGGGGTCAACTTGAACATTATTGCTGTTTACAGTTTATCTCTATCTATAATAATATTCAAGATAATAACCAAATACGGCAAAATTTCCTTAAAATTACTAATTCAGGGGCAGCAACCTAACAACGGGTTGTCCGATTCATCTGAAAATTTCAGGGCAGATAGATCTTGACCTGATAAACATTTTTACCCCATGTCAGATTTGCTCTCAATGCTTTGGTTTCAGAGATATAAGCCAAAATCTACATTTTACCCCTATGTTCTATTTTTAGCAATGGCGGCCATCTTGGTTGGTTGGCAGGGTCACCGGACACATTTTTTAAACTAGATACCCTAATGATGATTGTGGCCAAGTTTGGTTAAATTTGGCCCAGTAGTTTCAGAGGAGAAGATTTTTGTAAAAGTTTACGGACGACGGACGACGGACGCGGGACGACGGACGACGGACGCCAAGTGATGAGAAAAGCTCACTTGGCCCTTTGGGCCAGGTGAGCTAAAATTGGATAGACAAGATGTCCTTTTTGATCATATTTGAGACAAACATTGACGAATTTTTGTGCAGTTTAAGATTATTCCTAAAAATCAAATAGTGGGGTTTACGCCTGATTTGTCTAGCAAAATTGAGTTAGAGGAAAGAACAAAGAAAAATGTCACGAACAGAGCAGCACACTTTTACAGTCATGTCTACCGGACGTATCTTTATTTTCTATAAAATTATCGTAAATTTCATTTAATATGTCATCCAACATAACAAACATCTGCTATATTCTACGGCAAATTGAATTTTTGTTTTATTGATCTTCCGTAGAATATCTCCAGAAGAGGTCCAGATTCATTTTTTTGGACTCTTCACCTGAAGACATTCTGGAGATGTGCAGAAGAGACCAATAAAACACGCCCATTGTTAGTAATGCAGATAAAAAACACCATAAAATCTTTACAACTTACAGCAAGTTTTTGTAGACTATTGCCTCCCCAGAATGCCCTTGTTGTTTCTGCAATATCAATATCTGTTGTAGACATATGCCGTATGCTGCTCCAATTAAGGGACACCCTGTGTAGCATGTTAAACTCTTCAGAGTCCTATGTCGAAGAAAAATATAAATAAACATAACATTAAATCTCAGATACAAATGTATATTCTTTACTTATAAAAAGCTGTAATGTCAAAACAAGAAAAATAACAATGGCTAAGATACAAGTTTTTATCTAAAGAGATCTTCCAAGACAAAATAATCATTGCATTAGTATGTTCTTTGTCAAGCCTCTCACACCAAAAGCTGACCTTCCTGCAGACATTGATTTAAAAAAATTTACAAAAAACTAGCAAATTATTTTTTTTCTGCCAAATTATTTCTCAACTCTTCAATTCAAGGACAAAAGCTTTGCTTTTATACTTAGAATCCAGTGAATGTCTATAACAGTGTTGTTAAACTTTCTTATTTTCTTCCAAAGCTCAGATCATATGAAAACATTCTGTCTTTTCATACTTATAATAAACTGTTAACACAGAGATATGTTTTGCCTTGTTATTTTTATAGTAAAATGCAAATGTTGAAATTAAAATAGCAATACTTTAATATGTAAGTTATGCAAAATATTCAAAGCCAATGAACCATGACTGAAGGTACAGAACAAAACAATCTCCATGGAAATAAAATGTGCCAATGCTAATACATATGCATACCAAATATCATTGAACTACCACTAGTGGTTCCTTAATAACTGACCTAATCACAAACTAATACATGTAAACTGAGAGGGTTGGGCCAAATAATCACCATGGAAATGAAATGTGTCAATGCTTATGTAACTGCATACCAAATATCAATGAACTACCACTAGTGGTTTCCCAATAACTGACCTTATCACAAACTAATACATGTAAACTAAGCAAAAGTTTCAAAGTCAATAGACCACGACTGAGGTGATGGGGCCAAACAATCTCCATGGAAATGAGATGTGCCAATGCTAATACAACAGCATACCATATATCATTGACCTACCACTAGAGTTTCTACACAAAATTGACCTAATCACAAACTAATACATTGTTGACGCCGCCACTACCGCCCCAAGAAACAGCATACCTATGTCTCTCCTTTTGACTCCGTCAAGGCGAGATAAAAACTTTCAGACTTTTTGGGAATATTAATACTACAGCTCTTGATAACATATGAATAAAATTGACCACTTGATTGATTGATTGATTGGTGTTTATTGCCACTTTCAGTACTATTGTGCTATTTCCTGGCAGTTAGTTTTTATTGGTGAAGGAATCCAGAGTGCCTGGAGAGAACCACCAACTTTCAGTAGGAAAACTGACAATCCTAGTCAACTAAGATTGGAGTCGAGGACATCTGCCACGTGAGGGATCCGAACTCACAACCTCAGTGTTGAGAGGCTAGTGATACACTAGTTTGAATACTTAGACCACTCGACCACATAGGCCCTTTTGACCACTTGAAACAATATTGTTAAAACAAATGAATTCTGGTGTAAATCTCCATCATTTGAAGAAAAGGATCTAATATCTATACCCTGGGGTACCCCTTGAAATTTTATTCAAATACCTAATCCTGAAAAAAATACCTGCTGAAAATGAGATGATAATTTTTCAGCCAGGATGGAGTACTCCTTCATGTGGGTTAAGGGAGATTCCAGTATCTGTATCATTAGAAAGTGGTAATTAGGTCTCTCTATCCTTGTATCAGAGGGGAGCAATTCCTTCAAAGATTTAGATACAATATCACTGTCAAAAAATGAGCTGAAATATAGAAAATTTAGAGTTACATGTGGAAATCTGTGACACTGACTTAGCAATTAAGCCAATAAGCAATGGTTTAGATCTTTGTCAGTAAAGGAATAAAACTTTATACTAAATTTATAGATATACATTTTTAAACGGCCAAGAATTTTACGGACGCAAACAAGAGATGATTGACCGGTAAAGGAATATCTGTTTCACAGATGAGGACAGATATGTTCAAATTGCTGTAACCAAAATCCAGTCCTCTTTCCTCAAATGTGACCTACCAAATTAAACTTATCACCAGGTTTGTACTTACATGAGCAACACAACTGGTGCCACATGTGGAGCAGGATTTGCTTACACAGGGAAATTCTCTTCTGGAGCACATGAAATCACCCCTAGTTTTTGGTGGGGTTCATGTTGCTCAGTCTTTAGTTTTCTATGTTGTGTTTTGTGTACTGTTGTGTGTCTCATCATTTTTGTTTTCTCGCCATGGCGTTGTTTGTTTGTTTGTTTTTGACTTATGTGTTTGAATGTCCCTTTGGTATCTTTTAAGTCACAAATAAATATAATCTTTTTTTTTAGCAGTTTATTACATGTATTCGACAATGAGTAAAAGAAATTTGTGATATACATACAGTGGATTTATTTATTTTCATTGGTACAAATTTTCGTGGATAGAAGATAATTGTTTTTTTATGGATACGAAATTTTGTGGTTTTTTAAAAGTTCACATAAATAAGCCTAAAGGAAATTTACATTTTGTTAAAAAAGTTGAATTCCTGATTTGTATGTACCCGCGAAGTCCACCAAAAGTGGTCCCCAACAAATTTTAATGATTTTACAATTGAAAAAAAACAGAATCCACGTTATTTCCAACTGCACACATGGATGTTGCTTACATCCATTTCCTGTGGTCTCTGGTTAATAGTTATCTCACTGTCATACCTCCTCTTATTTTCTTAACAGTTACCAAATATAGCCATCTAGAGATCAATACACAGTCTTTACAAATGGTCAGGTGCCACACAATATGAGGTCTTAAAACACCCGAAGAGTAGACAAATCAAAAATGTTTTCAACGATAATCATAATAATAATAATGATAATATACTAATAAATATTATTATTCTCAGTTTCTTACATTAAATAAACTCATCATAGATACCAGACTTAAAATGTTGCACGTCAGCTGCGTGTTTCCTCTATTAATTATCTAATTATTTAATTAATTAAGCTTTTTCTAATAACATACAAATGGGAAAATCTGAAAGGCTACAAACCTGCCTGTTTTACAAATGTATTCAAAGCCTGCCACAGCTAACATATCACTGAGTGCAACATAGTAACGTTTATATTCCACGGTATATCTGCTGTAATTTGTGAAGAAAGAAGCTTGTAGGAGATCTTCTCCTTTACTGATCATTCCCGTCATCTCTATCATACTTTCACAAATCTAAAATTAATGAGGATAGAATTACAGGATAAACCATTAATGTGTTAACTTTTTTTCATGCAAGAGTTAGTTTCATAAAAATTGTTACACAAGCTCTTTTATAAAGCTGTTAAATTGTCACAATTAAAATATGGAACTCAGGAAAAGCCACCATAATTTTAGTTTCAAAAACTAGATTTTTTGAACAGTGTCTGCAATTCTAAAAGAATTCATCAAGAAAATTGGATGAAATGCAAACATAGAAATTTGACCCAAAAAAAAACTGTATTCAATTTTACCTTTATAGCTTTATGAACTTGTGAATACTGATCAAAAGGGTATTATATCTTAAACTTTAACTTATCTGTTCTTAAAATATGTGTTCATCCCATTGGTGACTGGGGAATAGAAATATGATCATTCTTGGTTTTCTTACTACCAGCAGTAAAACCCTTGCCAAAATGGGGCATTCATTTGATTGTGCAGGATGTATAAATTTGCAGCCATGTCCAGTCAGAATAGGGACTTTAAATCTAATGCATTGTGTAGAGAGAGTGCCATGCTCTCTGCACTTTAAGAACCCTTGCAACAACTCTTTAAGGGGTCTGTAGGTAGCCTGTTGCAAGGCTAAATTACTGTCACTATACAATTTACTCTCATTTCCAGTGGAATCAATGCCAAGTCAAATAAAACCATACCTTTGTAAATATTCTTTGGAAAGCTGTCATCAAGTTCTGTAGTGTTGATTTGTAGGGATAAACATCAAGACTGGTATAAAATGCTGTCAAAATATAGGAATTGAGCATTTATATGTACCTTTAATACTACATTTGTAACATTTTACATATTAGAAAACTTTGTTGATAAATGAGTATAATATGTTTTTAAAAAAAAATGAGGTCTTGAGAGGTAATTTATGTCTTATGAAGCAATGTGTATATGTAGCTTAAGTTAAAATTTCTGATTTACTTACTTATTTTTGCCTTTTTTTAATCATATTTCATTTAATGTGAACTCCATATCTGTTTCCATTTTCAATTAAATGTTTAGATTATCTCCCTTTGACAACATAGTAGTTTTCATCAAAGAACTAGAGCATCAAAGGAATGAAAAACTGTCACAGGGTATGGAAATATCAAATGATATAATGATGGATTGGTGATTAACATCCAGTGGCAAATACCATGACAACATGTTAATGATATTTGTCCACAAGTCCTGCTTTGTACAAGACTAACACCCTGAGCTAGGTTTTTTAACATACAAGTTCACAAGGTTTGGGAATTGAACCTATCAACTCTTACACTAGAGACGATCACCCTTCCACCTAGCCACTGAGATGATTCAATATCAAATGAAACCTTGTGCCATATATCAAGAATCTGTGACATGTAGTTGCTAATAAAAATCAACAGAAATGATTTATAGACAGACACATTGGTGAACAGAAATTTACAAACCAGTATACATCCCCTCCTTTGGAGCAGGGGGGGCAATTAATTCAAAGTTAACATATGACTGTCTGCCTCAAATTTATGCGAGACGTCGACCAAACTTACCAGATTTTTGTAATGGATCTAACAACAACTTCATCACTTTGTGCAGGTAGAAGTAAAATTTTCTTTCAGTAGCGGCAACTTCAAACAAAGTCATGAAGTAACCGGAGAAACTATAACAGGAAGTACAACAGCTGTTATCTCCCCCTGCCACTATAGATCTTATCCAGCCAGCCTTGAAACAGAAAATATGATTGTACAACATTTCGATAAAGTGTAAATTTTTGCTTACCATTTCAATTTATATATATTTTTCAGGTCTTTTATTTCATCATATGAATTTTATTAATATTTCGCCACTTCAGGGGTGTATTTACCTTTCTGTCGTGGTATTTGCCAAAATGTGTATGCCTTTTTTACCCTTACATATAAATGTCAATACAAAAGACTTCGACATCCATTGGTTGATTTTGTATGTTATTTATTATTAATGTTTTGTAGTTTGATTATTGTATCAATTTTATTTATTAATTTTGCAAACATTACTTTATGTGGCTTTTCTTAAGCTCTTTACACTCATCAATAAAGACCATCAAAACAGTGCTAGGGGCTGTCTTAAACTTGCAGTGAGGTGAGAGTTTTTTGCATCGCATTGAAGGCCTCACTGTGACTTTGCGATGAAGAACAGCAACAAACACGCTGTTCCTTTGCTTTTTGTGTTTTTTTCTGTGTCTGTACTGATTTTGTGTCATGGACAGATACCCCATACCCTGTCTTTTCTATTATGCAGAGATATCCACTCATTTGTTTGTTTTTTCTCTGTACAATTAGGATAATTCCAAATAATTAATATCCAAGTATTTTCCTTGTATCTTTCAATTTTTTATAGCGCATTAAAAAATAAGAAGAGAATTCATAACACTAAAGGGAGATAACTCTTTATAGATCACTAGAAAGTTCAAACAGCATTGTAAAAGTCAAACTTCTTGTTTACACAGATTGGCATACCATGTCCTGTTTTTGTTATGGAATATATATTTTTTGTGGAAACTAGTGGCTAAATTTGAAAAATAAATCTAGTGGAATTATGTTTAAATGCAATTAAAATCAGAAAAAAAATTGAACAATTCCATCACTATTTTACAAAATAGTTAGGTACCCCTTTAGGACTATAAAATTCTCTATGGTCATTCAACATTTGTGTCAGGGATACACAAACCAAAAAAGATCAAATAAGGTGGGGACTTCTATTACAAAATATGTATCCTAATTTCTTTGGAAATTATATTGATTGTTGGTTGCTTAACGTCCAGAGGCTTTTGGAAATTATAAACAATTACCTGTTTAAGAAAATTCAGTGAAGTCAGTCTATTTGTTTCATGGTTAGGTACATACAAATCTTTCCTGAAAAAATAAATGGGAAATTCTAAGGAATTTTGAACATACTGTAAATTCAAATTAAAGTAATTGCAGTCCATCATTATTGCCTTTGCTGATCAATTTACCAAATTTCTGAGAATTTTGAACGTACTGTTAATACACAAATTGTTGCATTTTATTGCTGATGAGGGAATGATTGTTCCTGTAGGACAAAAAATGTCACTAGATATTGATTTATGTGTTATGGTATAAATATCAATTCTTGGTCATGTCATTGAAAAAGTGTCAGTTTGCAGTCAATGGATTAGATTAACTACATGATAAATGTCTATGGCTTTCTCCTAATCTTTAAATTTTCTCCAGCAACTTAATTTGATCACATACATGACAACTAATGTTAGGTTATCTCCCTTTGATCAGGGATGTTAAAATATTCTTGTAAATTATGTAAAACAATGGCTCATAGGTGAACAATTTTTTTCAAATGGTTGCATCTTAAAAAAAAAGGTTTAAACTCAGACTTGTATCAATTATCAAAAGGGTAAAATATAAAGGAAAACATGTCAACACTAAAAGATGAATCATAATATTTGCAAAGAAATGAATACACATATATTTTATAGACATATTTGTATAGACACCTGTCTTATGCCATAGTTTTGCCATTGCGTTCTTGTTTCATTGAAATATGCCCCACATCTCCTTTTATTCCTTTCAATAAATATTTTCTAAATGAGATGATCTTCAGTAGCTCATCTATAATGGTTTAACTGATCAAGCTTTTGGCCAGTTAGTCAGACGGGTGCCACATGTGGAGCAGGATCTGCTAACCCTTCCTGAGCACTTGCGATCACCCCAGGTTTTGGTGGGGTTCATGTTGCTCAGTCTTTAGGTCCTTTTATCGTTTTTTACCAAGGCATTGTTAGTCATTTTCAACTTATGAGTTTGATTATCCCTTTGGTATCTTTCTCCTCTGTTTTGTCCTTTTCATTTTGCACTATACTGTTTTATGACTACAAGCTCTCAGAGATTGTGCTTTTTGTTGATCCCTCTTTATTCTGTACTTACGTCGGATGCTTTCCAACAAAAAAGACTTCTGGTTGGAATCCAGCTCTGTCGATTAGGAATATAGAGAAACAACTTCCAGCAGCAATATCCCATATGTAACATCCTGGCACCATCTGTAGAGAAATATAAATAATATTAATATCAATATCAATTTTGCAAAAGACTCAAATGTACAAAGTGCTTTATCTAGAATTACTCAGCAAACCTTTTAATCCCATAAATGCATTTCATAAAAGGAAAAGTCAATCCCATTTGTAATTCTTATTAAAATATATAGGCAAGGACTTTGTAATGTAGATTGATTGATTGATTGATTGTTGGAGTTTAACACCACTTTCAGCACACTTTGTTATATCATGACAGCCAGTTAATAGTGGAGAGGCAGAGGAAGCAGAGAAGAATACCAACCATTGGCAGGAAAATAACAATTAGTTAATTAAGATTATTGTTGAATGAACCTTGCAACAAGATGAGCTCAAACTCACAACATCAGTTTTGACAGGACCACTCTGCCACCAAGTCCAACCTTGTAATGTAGAGGAGGTGGTAAAGTCTATACAAAGAAAAAGAATATTCTAAGAACAACTTCTTCTGAAATTCCATACCTTAATGATACCAGGCAATGCTGCCTCCTCCTTTCTCCCTAGCTGCCCTGATGCATTGTTGCCCCAACTGTAGACCTGTAAAAAGAAACCAAATTTAGATACCAGTAGTTGAAAAAAACAGGGAGACAAACAAAATGGGTTTCAATGCACTTGTCTGCAAAATAATCCATAAACTACTTATTCTTTTTACAAAACTGATAAACAATACCTTTCACATCCACCCCTTTATGGTAAAATCAGGTGTAAAGCAGATGAGTTTAAGAACTGTCTTTCAAATCTTTCCTTTTGTCTTAATAGCTTTAGTGATAAAGTTAATAATTGTAGTGTAGTTAAGATGTAAAATCATTGCATTTTGTATTTTTTGGAATTAATCTTGAGTCACTTATTAACAGTTTCAAACATGAACTATATTTTTCATTTATTATCATTTTGATTTTGAAAGCCATCTAACATCAATTTAATTTGAGTACATGCATTGAACAAAAACATAGTTTTACAATGTTCATGTTGCTGAAAGAAAATCTATTAGTAGTCGGGCGGCCAAAAAAAAGAACATGATTTCTATATTGGAAGATTAAGTGCCACGAGCTGGTTTTCAATAACCACAACTAATCTTTGGCAGGAAAACTACTCTGTTTCAAAATAACAAGCTTTTTAAAAGACTGATACAAATTGATAGAATACAAATAAAGAAACTAAAAAAGCAGAAAAAAATGAAGGGTCCGTGTGCTTGTTTTCGAGATATAAGCCATTGAAAATTTGGTGGGAAATAATTCTCTCTAGATTTATCATACATTTAGCATTGGCACCTTTTTGCTTTCAAAAACGATGAAAAAATAACAGGGATTTTATAAGATTTTCAAAGATGACATTTTAAACTATATGTAATCAAATTATGGAAAGAAAAGTAGGGATTAATGGGCACATTTTTTTAATGGCACTACATGGATAAAACCAGAGGATTCTGAATATCTGACAAAAATTCAAAAACCCAGAGGAGCGAACATCCTTAAGAAAGAAATGAACAGATCTTCCAAGTGAACTCACAACCTCCGTGTTGAAAGGCTAGATGAACTTCTTTGACCACTCAGCCACCAAGGCCAATAATTGGAAGAGTTCGATTTTTTTTTCATCTGCAATACACTACAGTTTGCTTGATTTTGCTATTTCGACTTGTTTATGGTGGACATGGGCAGGCCAACAAATAACATTTTAGTTTATAGCCTGTTTTTATAGCAATGTTGAATACAAATATTTATTTGTCAAATAGTTTTGTTAATAATTTTTTTAATGAAGTAGAATTATATAATGTTGGCTCAAGACCATTTAACTAATCATATTGAGAAAGAAAAAAATGAAAATGTTCTCTTTTTAAAGTCGCTTTAACAAAAAGTCACTCAGAAGGAAAAATCTTTTTTTCAAAGAATTGTAATATGTTTTCTACTTATAAAGTAAACAAATATTAGCAATAAACAGATTTTAGATAATGCTTGCTGTACTGGTAAATACGAAAAAATTATTAAAATATACTTTATAAAGTCTTAGAACACAGAATAACCATTTTTTTGTGAATCTTGTTCCATTACCGTTCCTACTTTATTTAAATAAAATTGAGAATGGAAATGGGGAATGTGTCAAAGAGACAACAACCCGACCATAGAGCAGACAACAGCCGAAGGCCACCAATGGGTCTTCAATGCAGCGAGAAAATCCCGCAACCGGAGGCGTCCTTCAGCTGGCCCCTTAACAAATATGTATACTAGTTCAGTGATAATGGATGTCATACTAAACTCCAAATTATACACAAGAAACTAAAATTAAAAATGATACAAGACAAACAAAGGCCAGAGGCTCCTGACTTGGGACAGGCGCAAAAATGCGGCGGGGTTAAACATGTTTTTTGAGATCTCAACCCTCCCCCTATACCTCTAGCCAATGTAGAAATAAAATGCTCCGCTGGGGCGCAGCTTGATACGACCGCAGAGGTCGAACCCTGAACAGTTGGGGCAAGTATGGACACAACATTCAAGCTTGATACAGCACTGAATTTGGATTGTAATTAAATATTTGACACAGCATAGGTTTCTCACACAGAATGAAAGTAGTCTAAGAACTTAAAATTTTTTAATTTACCTATTCAAACCATATCATTATTATTTGCTTTTATATATAAATCAGAAATAACCAATTTAAAATGGAAAATTTTAAAGAAAAAAAAGGAAAAAAAAATCCCCCCCCCCCAAATTTTTTGAAACCCCCTTATGATTCATCACCCCCAAACTCAATCCCAGCCTTCCCTTTGTGGTATGGTACCTTGCAGTACAATTTCAGAGAGATCCATACACTTGAACACAAATTATTGTCTGGAAACTAGAAAAATGCTTGGGTTTTTTGCACCTTTTTGGCCCCAAATTCCTAAAAGTTTAGGGCAATTACCCCCAAACTCAAACCCAGCTTTCCCTTTGTGGTATGGAACCTTGCAGTACAATGTCATAAAGATCCATACACTTACACACAAGTTATTGTCATGAAACTAGAAAAATGCTTGTTTTTTTGCCCCTTTATGGCCCCTAATTCCTAACATTTTGAGACAATTACCCCCAAAAACAATCCCAGCCTTCCCTTTGTGGTATGGTACCTTGCAGTACAATTTCAGAGAGATCCATACACTTGAACACAAGTTATTGTCTGGAAACTAGAAAAATGCTTATTTTTGGCCCCTTATTCCTAAACGTTTTGGGCAAGTACCCCCAAACTCAATTCCAGCTTTCCCTTTGTGATATGGAACCTTGTAGTACAATTTCATAAATATCCATACACTTACACACAAGTTATTGTCATGAAACTAGAAAAATGCTTGTTTTTTGCCCCCTAATTCCTTAAATTTGGAGGCAATTACCCCCAAAATCAATCCCAGCATTCAAACCCTCAATCAGCATCATTTAACAGTAATATCTAAAAATGGAAATTACATAATAAAGGTATTAAAATAGAAAATGACATCATAGTCATGGCTATAAATAAACAAAATCCTTAATCAGCAACATTTTACAGTAATATCTAAAAATAAAATTCCTTTGTAACCATAAAAGCCCATTTAAATACATCATGACAGATATTAAAATAGAAAATGACATCATAGTCATGGCTAAACATAGCAAAAACCTTAATCAGCATCATTTAACAGTAATATCTAAAAATAAAAATTTCTTTGCAACCATAAAAGTAAAATAGAAAATGACATCATAATCATAGCTAAAAATAAACAAAAATTTTTTTTATTACCAAATTTTAAATGGAGTTTATTAAACTAAAACAATAAATTTGCAACCATAAAACCCCATTTAAACACATCATAAAAGTATTAAATAATTCAACTACATCATAAGGCTATAAAAATAGAAAATGACTTCATAGTCAAGGCTAAAGGTAAACAAAAAACCTTCATCAGCAAAATTTTATATTGGCAAATTTCCAATGAAGTTTATTATACTAAAATTGTTGGCAAATTTCCAATGCATTTATTAACAATAAAGTTATTGGCAAATTTACAATTTACATAATTTAAAAGCAGTGTAAGTGAGATATTTAAATGAGTTTGAATTACCAACCTTACACTGCTTTTAAATAATGTTTTGTACTTATTTGTCTATTAACCTGGAAACCCTTGTTTTTTCACCTTTTTTTCCCTTATTATTTAAAGGTTTGAGCCATAACCCTACCCCAAAGCCAATTCTTAAATTCCAATGTAACCTAAATTTACAATATACATAACTTCAATTTAAGTTTTTGATAAAATCCAACCACATCATTATTATTTGCTTTTATATCTAAATCAGAAATAATTAACCAACTTTAAGTGGAAAATTTTCACACATCACGCCCCCCCCAAACTCAATCCCAGCCTTCAGTTTGTGGTATGGTACCTTGCAGTACAATTTCACAGAGATCCAATTACTTAAACACAATTAATTGTTGGAAACTAAAAAAAAATGCTTATTTTTAACCCCTTTTTTAGCCCCTTATTCCTAAACATTTGAGCAATTATCCCCCAAACTCAATTCCAACTTTCTCTTTGTGATCAGAATTAACCAACTTAAAATGGAAAATTTTAAAGAAAAAAAAAGGAAAAAAAATCCCCCCCCCCCAAAATTTTTTTGACCCACTTCCCTTTGTGGTATGGTACCTTTAAGTACAATTTCAGAGAAATCCATACACTTGAACACAAGTTAATGTCTGGAAACTAAAAAAATGCTTATTTTTGCCCCCTTTTTTGGCCACTTATTAATAAATGTTTTGGGCAAACATTTTACAATAATATTTAAAACTGAAATTAATTTGTAACCTTAAAATTAAATAGAAAATGACATCATAGTCATAGCTAAAAATAAACAAACTATTGGTAAATTTCCAATGGAGTTTATTATATTAAAACAATAAATTTGCAACCATAAAAGCGCATTAAAATACATCATAAAAGTATTAAAAAAAATTTAACTACATCATAAGGCTATTAAAATAGAAAATTCGTGAGGGTTCCACGGAACCCAGTGTCTCGCCTACTTTTGCTGTTAATCGCAGGCTCAACAAAAATGAGGAAAAAAATTAATAAAAATATTCCTCTCTATACTATCTTTTGATTGTAAGTAGCTTCTGTCCAAGTTTGGTAAAAATCCAGGATGGTTTTTGAATCTAATAAATGTTTTTAAAACTTTAATTGCAGACTGTATGTAAAGTTAACTGGAAGAAAAACTAAGTCCATTTATAAGTAAAATACAGAAAAAATGGAACAAAATTTTATCAAAATTTCCTTCTAAATACTAGCTTTTGATCATAAACAAGCTTCTGTCCAAGTGTGGTACAAATCCAGGATAGTTTAAGAAAGTTGTTAAAATTTTAAAAACTTTAACCACAGAGTGAATGTAATGTTAACTGGCAGAAAAACTAAGTCCATTTATAAGTAAAATACGGAAAAAATGGATTTTTTTTTTTACAAAATTTACTTCTGGATACTATCTTATGATCATAAACAAGCTTCTTTCCAAGTTTGGTAGAAATCCAGGATAGTTTAAGAAAGTTATTAAAATTTCAAAAACTTTAACCACAGAGTGAATGTAATGTTTCCTGGCAGAAAAACTAAGTCCATTTATAAGTAAAATACGGAAAAAATGGAATTTTTTTTTTACAAAATTTACTTTTGAATATAATCTTATGATCATAAACAAGCTTCTGTCCAAGTTTGGTAGAAATCCAGGATAGTTTAAGAAAGTTATTAAAATTTCAAAAACTTTAACCACAGAGTGAATATTTGTGGACGCCGCCGACGACAACGACGACGACGACGACGACGACGCCGACGGAATGTAGGATCGCTATGTCTCGCTTTTTCGACAAAAGTCGAAGGCTCGACAAAAATGACATCATAGTCAGACTAAAGGTAAACAAAAAACCTTCATCAGCAAAATTTTATATTGGCAAATTTCCAATGAAGTTTATTATACTAAAATAATTGGCAAATTTCCAATTTACATAATTCAAACATAGTGCAGGTGAGATATTTAAATGAGTTTGAATTACCAACCTTACACTGCTTTTAAATAATGTTCTTTACTCAATTATTTGTCTATTAAAATGGAAACCCTAGTTTTTTAACCTTTTTTCCCCTTATTCCTTAAACGAAAAAAAATAATTACCCCTTTTTTGACCCCCCCCCCCCCCTATGATTCATCACCCCCCCTTCCCCCCCAAACCAAGCTCAATAACAGCCTTGCCTTTGTGGTATGGTACCTTGTAATACAATTTTAGAGAGATCCATACACTTGAACACAAGTTATTTAGAAACTAAAAAATGCTTATTTTTCACCCCTTTTTAGGCCCCTTATTACTAAACGTTTTGGGCAATTACCACAAAACTCAATTCCAGCTTTCCCTTTGCGAAATGGAACCTTGTAGTAAAATTTCAGAAAGATCCATACACTTACACACAAGTTATTGTCATGAAACTAGAAAAATGCTTGTTTTTTGCCCCCTTTTGGCCCCTTATTCCTAAAATTTCGAGGAAATTAACCCCAAAATCAATCCCATCATCGACCCTTTGTGATATGGAATCTTGTAGTACAATGTCAAAGAGATCCATACAATAACACACAAGTTATGTCTGGAAGTTACAAAAATGCTTATTTTCGGCCCCTTTTTGGCCCCTAATTATTTAACTGTTGGTACCATAACCCCCAAAATCAATCCCCACCTTCCTATTGTGGTATTGAACCTTATGGTAAAATTTCATAGAGATTCATTCACTTAAACTAAAGTTAGAGTGCGAAAACCATTGTGTATTCGGACGACGACCCCGGACGACGACGACGACGACGACGACGACGCCAACGTCATACCAATATACGACCACAAAATTTTTTTGCAGTCGTATAAAAATGACATCATAGTCATGGCTAAACATAGCAAAAACCTTAATCAGCATCATTTAACAGTAATATCTAAAATTAAAATTTCTTTGCAACCATAAAAGTAAAATAGAAAATGACATCATAATCATAGCTAAAAATAAACAAAAATTTTTTTTATTGGCAAATTTTAAATGGAGTTTATTATACTAAAACAATAAATTTGCAACCATAAACATGATAAAACCCCATTTAAACACATCATAAAAGTATTAAATAATTCAACTACTTCATAAGGCTATAAAAATAGAAAATGACTTCATAGTCAAGGCTAAAGGTAAACAAAAAACCTTCATCAGCAAAATTTTATATTGGCAAATTTCCAATGAAGTTTATTACACTAAAATTGTTGGCAAATTTCCAATGCATTTATTAACAATAAAGTTATTGGCAAATTTCCAATTTACATAATTTAAAAGCAGTGTAGATGAGATATTTAAATGAGTTTGAATTACCAACCTTACACTGCTTTTAAATAATGTTCTTTACTCAATTATTTGTCTATTAAAATGGAAACCCTTGTTTTTTAACCTTTTTTCCCCTTATTCCTTAAACATTAGAGCCATAACCCCCCCCCCCCCCCCCCCAAAGCCAATTATTACTTTCCAATGTAACCTAAATTTCCAATATACATAATTTTAAATTTCAATTCCTCATGATATATAACCGTATCATTATTATTTTCTTTCATATATAAATCTGAAACAACCATCTTTAAATGGAAAACTTTAAAGAAAAAAAAAGGAAAAAAAAAAATCCTACCCCCCACACATTTTTTCAACCCCCTTTTGATTCATCATCCCCCACCTCAATCACAACCTTCAATTTGTGGTATGGTACATTGCAATACAATTTCACAGAGATCCATACACTTGAACACAAGTTTTTGTTGCAAACTAAAAAAATCCTTATTTTCGACCAATATTTGGCCCCTTATTCATAAATGTTTGAGCAATTAACCCCAAAACTCAATTCCTACTTTCTCTTCGTGATAAAAAATAACTAACTTAAAATGTAAATTTTAAACAAAAAAAAAAGGAAAAAAAAAAATTACCGGTACCCCTTTTTTGACCCCGCCCCCCTTATGATTCATCACCCCCACCCCCCTTTCCCCCCAAACCAAGCTCAATAACAGCCTTGCCTTTGTGGTATGGTACCTTGTAATACAATTTTAGAGAGATCCATACACTTGAACACAAGTTATTGTCTAGAAACTAAAAAATGCTTATTTTAAACCCCTTTTTAGGCCCCTTATTACTAAACGTTTTGGGCAATTACCACAACACTCAATTCCAGCTTTCCCTTTGTGAAATGGAACCTTGTAGTAAAATTTCAGAAAGATCCATACACTTACACACAAGTTATTGTCATGAAACTAGAAAAATGCTTGTTTTTTGCCCCCTTTTGGCCCCTTATTCCTAAAATTTTGAGGCAATTAACCCCAAAATCAATCCCAGCATTGACCCTTTGTGATATGGAATCTTGTGGTACAATGTCAAAGAGATCCATATGCTAACACACAAGTTATGTCTGGAAGTTACAAAAATGCTTATTTTCTGCCCCTTTTTGGCCCCTAATTCCTTAACTGTTGGTACCATAACCCCCAAAATCAATCCCCACCTTCCTATTGTGGTATTGAACCTTATGGTAAAATTTCATAGAGATCCATTCACTTAAACTAAAGTTAGAGTGCAAAAACCATTGTGTATTCGGACGACGACGCCGGACGACGACGACGACGACGACGCCAACGTCATACCAATATACGACCTCAAAACTTTTTTGCGGTCGTATAAAAACAAACGCACAACAGTAAGCACAGTAAAACTCACTTTAAGAGAAGTCTGAGTCCGATGTCAGAAAAGGAAACAAAAGAAAATAAACAAAATGACAATAATACATAAATTACAACAGACTACTAGCAGTTACTGACATGCCAGCTCCAGACCTCAATTAAACTGATTGAAAGATTATGTCTTCATCATATGAATATCAGGCACAATCCCTCCTGTTAGGGGTTTAGTATTATACCATCATAAAATATATGAGAAGAACATAACCCGTGTCATCTTGTATTAATTTCAAAGAATATCTTCAGGTAATCTAATTATTTCCTGAGATATACCTGTCCCTTTTCGCAAGGATAACCTCCTCAGCCTAAATTACAATGTTTGAACTTGCATTACTGGTAACCCTTCAAAAAGCAGATGTCAATCTCTACCTATGAATTACAATTTATATCTGTGAATTACAGCTTATACCTGTGAATTAGCTGTCAATGCCATTGCATGACTTGTCCCACAACATAACTTTGTTATACGCTTGTTAGACATGGCTTTCACAATGGTTGGATTGGGCCTGCAAAAAGTAGAAATGAAAAGGGTTAATTTTTCTCAACATTGGCATGATTGGCTCTTATTTATAGCTATATTTGTGTAATATGTACATGTACTTACATTATAGTAAAAGAACACTAGAGAACATATATAATTTTTATAACAAAACCAAATTCGGAAATTAATGACTGTGTTTAATAGAGCAAATCCTTATGATTGATTGAGAACCCAACAAATATTAAAATGGAACTCAGATATATCTTTTATTCATAAAATCTTCATACATACCTGTCAACTTTTCAAAGTATTAATGGTGAATTTTGAGCGTAAGAGGACCTACAGCACCTCTTATATTGTCATGTGTTTTTAACCTACTACATTATTGTTTGAATGAGAAGTATGTGCTGAAATACCCTTTTAACTCATTTGAATGCCTGTTTTTAGGTGTTTAGTTTATACAATAAAGAATTTCAAAATTCAGGTTAACAACTTAACACCTCTCAAACACAAATCATGAAGGTTGGCAGGTCTATTCATATGGGAGTATTAACTATTGTTCATGTTGGTTATTTTTCTGTTTCTGTATAAACATTAACTAATAATGAGATTCTCACAGTAAGTTTTACAGTATTTCTTTTGATTTTATAATTTTTTTATCTTTCAAACAGTTTTCAAGGGTTCCTTCCACTGTTTGATGCTTTTATAGGCTAGTTACACTGAGGTGTCACATCTGCTTTACTCATCAAGATTGACTTTTATGAAGTCTTAAGATCCAGGCTTTTATTTGTAACAGACATCATATATTTTCAGATATCATTCCTCTGAATGTATGTTTCTTTTCTGTCATTTTTAACTTTATTTGCCAATTACATTTTTGTGTATTCATTTATTTGCTACTGGTCAAGGCATACCTGTCACCCATATCACCAAGACCCAATTGACCTTTGCTATTTTTTCCCCATGACCACACCTCTGTATCTATGATAACAGAGGGCCTCTTCATTTCATCTTCTGTGGCTGAAATAATCAAGCATTGTATACTTTAGATTTGATATAAAAAAGAGAACAAAGAAAGCTGAAGAAAAAATCAAAACCAGTCACTGTAATTCCTACTCTGAACAGAGAACTACAAGAATAGGCTTTATTTGTTTTTCGTCCATTATTTTGTACATAATAAGGGCGTTAGTTTTCTCGTTTGAATTGTTTTCTGGGCCTTTTATACATGTAGCTGACTATGCGGTATGGGCTTTGCTCATTGTTGAAGGCCGTTCAACAATGAGCAATATATGGTGACCTATAGTTGTTAATTTCTGTGTCATTTGGTCTATTGTGGAGAGTTGGTAATCATACCACATCTTCTTTTTATATTTGTCCAAGGTTTATCGGAGGGTTTGGAGCCTGCTATCATGTTTAACCCCGCCAAATTCTGTATGTGCATGTACCTAGTCAAGAGTCTGTTATTCAGTGTTTGTCATTTGTTGCTGTATATCGTATTTGTTTATTGTTTTGTACATTAATCAGGCCATTAGTTTTCTCATTTTAATTGTTTTAAATTTGTCATTCGATGCCTTTTATTGTTATGCAGTATAGGTTTTGTTCATTGTTAAAGGCCATGCAGTGACCTATAGTAGTTAATTATAACTTCTACATCATTAAGTCTTTGTTGGGGAGTTGTCTCATTGGCAATCATTCCACATCCTCTTTTTTTTAAATTTCATTACATTATCTTAAATTGAATATTTCACTACGACAAGAACAAGAATGCATGTGTTGTCATGCTAAGCATAGAGCTATAACCAATGTCTTTTAAATCTGGCTCAGGACAATCATATATATATATATATATATATATATATATATAGAACTATTTCCTAAAAACCTGTTGTCTATCATATATTCCATTTCTTTGAAAATTAAAAGTATGCAAAGAAAACTAATCAGGCTTTAATTTACAGATTTATCATAGACTAAATGTCTTCAATATCAAAATCAATTACGAAGCACACTGTTATATGAGCTTCCGTTAATAAACTGTTGTTGGTTCATGTCTGTCATATTTGTTTTTCGTAAATAGTTATGTTGTAAATTAGGACGTTAGATTTCTTGTTTCAACAGTTTCACTTCTTTTATAGCCGACTATACAGTATGAGTTTTTCTCATTATTGAAGGCTGTACGGTGGTCTATAATTGCTATTATCCACTACATTTGAACTTTGGGGGACAGTTGACTCATTGTGAATTGGTAATCATACAACATCTCCTTTATATATTCTATAACAACATACACAGCGATAAATTGATGTTAATCTTACTTGATGATCGTGTTGACACTTTTCTTTCCATTTCTTCTTGCTTGGCTAAAATGGTCCTCATGGATGATCTCTTTGTTGTTGTCTCTGCTGACTGACTTCCACGTTTAGGAGTTACTTCCCTTGGTTCTACAGCTGTGCTTTGGTCTAACTCATCAGTTTTACTATCATCCGAGTAAAGCATCTCTGTCTTTATGCCTTCAATAAACGTAGTTTCTCCAAAAGAACAATCTGATTTTTTTGGTGATTTAGGTTCTGGAGATTTTGAAGAACTTAACTTTCTGAAATCTTTTGATAATTGGCTCTCCACAATTTGTGTCGCATGGAAGACATCTTCATCAGATGTATCAAACCCAACAAGATGAATATTTGAATCCACGCTAGAATTTGTATCTTCTTTTTCCTTTTCATCTGTTGCAGATGCAGACATTCTGTCCATTAATGATGTCTTGAATCCACTTAGCATGCCAGTCATTTGCTGCGGAATAGCATAAGCGGACTGCATACCTGTTTGAACTGTTGACCAAATGTCAGTTACAGCTCCCTTTGCAGCACTTTCATAAGGAACTTTGCCATTAGAATCAGACTTTAATGCTAGGTCGTCATCATCTAGCTGTTTGGCTAAAAATTGTCTTGCATTTTTTCCATCAAGGAAACTTTTTGATCTAGAAACCCTGTGATCACTTTTGGATGACAATGACCTTTCTATTTCAGGTTTTTGTTTTTGCCACACATTTTCATCTGAAATAGAGCGTTGTATATTTGGTTGAGTCATAGGATCATCTCCCTTAGAAGTCGCACCACTAAGATAATTATCTCCCTTTAAAAGTTTTTCGTCAGCATTTGAATTATCCCCATTATTTGTTGCTATTGATGTACCTTCTGTTGTTTCAGTCTTGACCCCTTCTTTTGTTTTTTCACTATCTTTTGAAATAACAGTTTGTTGTGATTGGCTGGTATCTAACAATTCTTCAAGATGTATTATGGACTGTGATTGGTCAGATACACTAGTTTTTACAGTTTCTGGACAAACATGGTCTTCTGTTATTATACAGGTATCAGAAGTTTCCATGTAACTGTAGATTTCCTCGTTACATTTTGAACAAGTAGATGGAAAAAGTTTATGCGTAGTTTTTTCAATATTTGATGGTCGTTTCCTTGGTGCAACATCAAGAACACTTCTTTCGACCAAGGCCATTGTGTACATTTCACCACAAACAATATCCAAGACATTTCTTCCATTAAATGCTTCAATCTGTATTGGGGTAACAGATTTTGTGACTGTATTCACTCCCAGTGCTATGCCACTCCCCCATACCCACAATTCATTATCAACAGACAGAGCAACTGTATGATTTTTACCGCAGGCAATTTTCTGAATTGCAATTTTTTCATGTGGACCTGTATTTCCATGTTCACAAACCTCATTACAAGTTTTAACAATTTCAACCAGTTGAGGTAAAGGAACAGTCCCGTCATGTAATTTCTCACTCCCTTCTGGTACCCCACATTGTCCTTCACTTGCTACTCCCCAGCAGAAGACATCACCATATTTGGTAACAGCAGCAGAATGGTTGGATCCACAAGCAATGTATTCAATTTCTTTATCTGCAATATAACAGTTTATTAAAAAGAACATGGAATTCATACATAAATGTACCATAAATTTCCTAATTATTAAGATTTTATTAACTTTAAGCATAATCACAATGTTCATATTTTAATGTTCTAAAGTGGGCTAATAATAGCTTTGTATCTGTTGATTATTGTACATCAGTAGCTAGAGGCTTTAGAGAGCCTGTGTTGCTCACTTTGACCTATGTGCATTTTCAACAATGGCAGCTCTCAAACATTAAAGACTAGAATATAATTCATGACTTATATCTCTGTTTTTGTTGATCTTGTATTGCTAATAATTATTTTCTGTTTTCAGTTTCGTGAGAAAAGCTCACTTGACCCTTTTGGTCAGGTGAGCTAAAGCTAAAAAAATAACTGTCAAAAATCAACACATTGTAATGAAAATTTCCCATGTTGTATTTGAAAGACACAAAAGAAGTTTGAATTAATGAAATTTTTTAATGGGCATAATGATATTTTTGGTTATTCTCATTTCTGGAAATTCATTGAAACCAGGAACATTTTGACCATACAGAAATTTTGAATATTTATTTCTTTTAAGTACCCTAATTTTAAAATTTGTCTTTTCATCTAAAGTTTAACCCAAAATTTTTTAATTCAATTTAGGGGTAGGTTATATTTTCAGTAAAACTTGTGAACTATTGACATTTAATATTTACTACTGTATCTCTCTCTTAAATCAAGATTTCACAATGTTTATAAACATTGCCTGTATCATTTCTACTATACTTGCTTTGTGAGATTGGTTTTGCTAATTCTTAAAGGCCGTATATGTTGACCTTATAGCTGCTAACTTCTATGTCATTTGGTCTCTAGTGGAAAGTTGTATCATTGGTATTTACACTAAATTTTCTTATTTTTATATTTATTTTGATTTCATTTAAAATATTTTTTTACAAATCCCGAACAAAAACATATAAAAATTTGTGTTCTAAAAATTCTGCATATAAATGCACACTAAAACTACCTGTAAGACTCTCAACCAACACCGGATCATAAGTGTCTTTTGTCTCTAAATTACCGATTCCCAGTTGTCCATAATTGTTCTGGCCGCAAGCAAAGACACTGCTATCCTTGGTCAAAAAGAGGCAATGGTCCCCACCTAACGCTACCTGTTTTACTTCCTTTTCCTTGAAAATGGGAAAGTTCACAACATCAACGCTACCATAGAAACCCTGCCACAGAAAGCAACAGCCATCTTTTTCTTCTTTCTTGCTGTAAAAAAAATCTTACAAGTTAAAGTCTGACATGTACTTATAACCTACTGTATCATAGCTTGCTAATTGAGTGCTGAATATTATGACTCAGATAATGGGTTTAACTAAAAGACTTAAAAATTAGTGTCTGTTGCTTTTAAAACACAACATTGGTGTCTGCTGCTTCAATATATTAAATGTGTGTTTACTGCTATAATACCCACTAGTACATAACATTTGTGTTTCCTGCTTTATTACATAACAATACACAGGGGTCTGTTGTTTTAAAACATAACATTGGTATCTGCTGCTTTAAAACATATCATTGGTGTCTGCTGCTTTACAACATTACATTGGTGTCTACTGCTTTAAAACATAACATTGGTTTCTGCTGCTTTAAAACATGACATTGGTGTCTGCTGCTTTAAAACATAACATTGGTATCTGCTGCTTTAAAACATAACATTGGTATCTGCTGCTTTAAAACATATCATTGGTGTCTGCTGCTTTAAAACATAACATTGGTATCTGCTGCTTTAAAACATAACACTGGTATCTGCTGCTTTAAAACATAACATTGGTGTCTGCTGCTTTAAAACATAACATTGGTGTCTGCTGCTTTAAAACATAACATTGGTGTCTGCTGCTTTAAAACATAACATTGGTGTCTGCTGCTTTCATAAATAACTTTGGTGTCTGCTGCTTTCATAAATAACTTTGGTGTCTGCTGCTTTAAAACATAACATTGGTGTCTGCAGCTTAAATACATAACATTGGGTTCTGCTACTTTAATACATGAGTGGTGTCTGCTACTCTGATACATAACATAGGTGTCTGCTGCTGTAATACATAACACTGGTGTCTGCTGCTTTAAAACATAACATTGGTGTCTGCTGCTTTAAAACATAACACTGGTGTCTGCTGCTTTAAAACATGACATTGCATGAGGTGTCTGCTGCTTAAATACATTACATTAATATCTGCTCCTTCATTACTAAGGGCAAAATACTTTAAATGACATTAAAAAAACTGTTATGCCAAAAATACTTTATTTGTGCTTCAACAAAAACTACAATCAATTTTTAAAGTGATAAACCATGAAATCCTCAATGAACAAACATTATATACCTCACACAGTCCTGATTATATCTATATGACCTTTGACCAGCCATTCAACATTCACATAAGATGGCCTTATTCCAAATGATTATTTGATTATTGTCTGATATTTCTGCACTTCATAAAAAAATATTTTCAATAACTATATAAACATGTTTTCATATATTCCACTAATAATCCGATAGACCTTTAATACGATTACCTGAATTAAAATCAGTCAACTGCGGCAATAATATAAACGTGGAATTTAAAGGGTAGAATCTAATTGTTGAGAATTGACACTATTGCTTTCAACCATGAGATAGGCGAACGATTTCAAATGTTTGAAACGATTTTGGTAAGTAGATAATTAAGTGTTGTACCACAAGAAAATTGCTATAATTTTCTGCATGGGACTTTACATTAAATTTATTTATAGTAAAATGTTTATGATTATGTAAGTTTGATTGCTTAATTGGGAGTGTTTCACATCAGAGTATGTAATTTTCTGAAATTAAAAATGTTATTTTCCTGGAAACCAGTAATTGTGTAGTCTTTAGTTTATTTCGGAAGATCATCATTAAATTACTTTTGTTAAATAAATCGCAAGGTATTGTAAAGTCTGTATGTTATATCTAAATAAACAAGAAAAAAATTAAATGTTCCGTAGGGCCTCATTCAATATCATTTGAATTAACTAGAAAACTGACATACACAATGTATTGGAAAGGGCCCTGCTTAACATTTTTTGGTGAGGCACCGAAACAAATAATTTTATAAAATACTGATGCAAACAAAGCAATACCTGTCATTCTTTATGTTTAATATTAGGCTATCAATTTTTGTAAATTTTGTCACCAGGAAATAATTCAGGATATGTTCTACGTAAATATCAGTTTCGTTAAATTCAAGTTCAATTTATTTCTTTATGTTTTTTGGCAGCCATTTCGAAAATGGTGGCCAACAGACCCTTTTTGATACCAAACACAATTTGGAATAAAAGCATATTGCATATATACCTACATACAAATTTTCATAGAAGTCCTAGCAAAAAAAGATGTTTCTCAAAATTTGTGATTTTTAAACAGCTTTCACAAAAATTCAGAGACCTTTCGTTTATAGGTTGACTGGCATTTATCTGACTTATAATATGACAAAGATGTGTTCACAGACAGAGTGATTTCTAAAGGGCACTGCAAACAGGTCAGAGCTGCTCTAATTAGCTAGATTATTAATAACCTAATAACCTGTAGCCAGAAACCCAAAGCATGTGGCCTGCAACCCGCAACCCACAAATAAGTGATACTGCTAGATAGTTTTTGTATAAGATCTTCAGTTAAGAAGGGTTTCAATAAATGTTTGGTTATTAATAGAACGCAAACAGACTGAGTAAAATGTTGACCCCATATTCAGAGTCAAATCTGAGAGAAAATAACAATTCTGACCTCCTCAATATAAAAGTTCAACCCTTCTCAGAATTCCAAAAACAGATTTGTCCTTGTAACACCTTAAATAGGTAAATTTCCTAAAGTCTACTATCCTGAGGCTACCAGCCAAGCAATGATAGTTATCTGTAGTAAAATGATTCTTTTTTTTCTGCCATTTACAAGATTTTTTTAATAACAGCCTACACAAAGGGTTTCAAGATAGTTTAGATAGTCAGCGAGGTGAATTTTCTTTAATCATATACTGCCTGTAGTGCGAAAAAAGTCAATATAATATTGCACTGTCATTACTTTATAATTATCTGATTTTAAAATGTTTTAAAAATCAATAAAACTAGACATGAAACAATATATGACATTTCTTATTCATTAAATTGATCTACTTTGAAACAAGTCACATATTTTTTTTTTGTTTAGACTCATTCATTCCATAATAAATGAAATGGAAACATTTTTAATAAGGCGTAAAACAAGGGTTTGAAACAAGGACATCTAAAATTGTGAATTGTTAAAGAAATGCACAAAAAATGTACATTTTTAAAACTTTTGATTAAAAGGAAATAGTGGGAATACATCAATGTCGAGACAGCAACTCGACAACACAAATACCCATAAGACATCTAGAATTCAACACACAGTCTTTAACAAAAGACAGCGTACTTAATATATATATATACCGGTATGTCTATAAAATATGTCAAACTATATATAAATCACTGAAATTTTGTGCTTTCTTAGAAAGATTACATTAGTTTGCAACCAACAAGTTTAAACAATGGCAAATTGGTCATTTGGTTAATGTATACAAATTAATTACTGTACTGATATATATCTGAACCCATACAGAGAAAATTAAGTCTGTTTAATCAATGCAAATGCCCCAAATAGTATTTGCATGTTGATGTACATAAGAAATTGGATATTTATTTAAACTCTAATTTGATTGACACTTGTATTTGAATTTGATTAAAATGAAGCCAATGAAACGTGATATTTATATTTATTTAACAGTACTTGCTGTGTTTCTTTCCCTCCTGGGGACAAATTTTATATAAAATGGAGTCATTCTTATTATCCAAGCTTATTTAAATCAAATAGTAAAATATCTGTTTTGTTTCTTTTGTAAATCACACATCAATTCAATGTTTATAGTGGTTCTAAATAATACTTCTTTATTTTAAAACTATAGATATGCATAAAATTTTCATGCATTTCTTTTTGATTTTTTTTTTGTGTATTTGGGTTGCTGTCTTAAAGATGTATTCTAAAGATCTTCTCTTCATATATAACAAAATATATTTAGGACAGGAACAAATTCAACAATATAATAAAATGCTCCGCAGGGCGCAGCTTGATACGACCGCAGAGGTCGAACCCTGAACAGTTGGGGCAAGTATGGACACAACATTCAAGCTTGATACAGCTCTGAATTTGGATTGTGATTAAATATTTGACACAGCATAGGTTTCTGACACAGAATGAATGTGGTCTAAGAACTTAAAAATTTTAAATTGGACATTCACCTATTATGGTCCAATATCCAAAATCTAAATACATGGTTATATTCAGCATTTCAAAGAACCCCAAGAATTCAATTTTTGATGAAATCAAACAAAGTTTAATTTTGGACCCTTTTGACCTCAATGTGGACAAAGTTGATAATGGGGCCCAAAAATCAAAAATCTAAATACATGGTTAGATTCAGCATATCAAAGAACCCCATTATAATAATATTCAATTTTTGTTGAAATCAAACAAAGTTTAATTTTGGACCCCGATTTGGACCAACTTGAAAACTGGGCCCATAATCAAAAATATAAATACATGTTTAGATTCAGCATATCAAAGAACCCTAAGAATTCAATTTTTGTTAAAATCAAACTAAGTTTAATTTTGGACCCTTTGGACCTTAATGTAGACCAATTTGAAAACGGAACCAAAAATTAAGAATCTAAATACACGGTTAGATTCGGCATATCAAAGAACCCCAATAATTCAATTTTTGATGAAATCAAACAAAGTTTAATTTTGGACCCTTTGGACCTCAATGTGGACCAATTTAAAAACTGGGCCCAAAATCCAAAAACTTAATACACGGTTAGAATCAGCATATTAAAGAACCCCAAGAATTCAAGAATAAAACCCCATTGAAATTGGTCAAGAAATAAGCAATTTATACGAAGTATCTTCTTTTGCACAATACTATGCAATTGAATATTTCTTGCTATTGCACAATACTGTACAATTGACAATTTCTTGCTATTGCGCAATATTGTGCTATTGGATATTTCTTGCTATTGCACAATACTGTGCAATTGAAGATTTCTTGCTATTGCCCAATACTGTGCAATTGAAGATTTCTTGCTATTGTGCAATACTGTGCAATTGAAAATTTCTTGCTATTGCACAATACTTATTATATAATAATTTACACATCCTGTTTGGTGTGTATCTCCTACCGTATCATTATTATTTGCTTTTAAATATAAAACAGAAATAACCAACTTAAAATGGAAAATTTTAAAAGAAAAAAAAAAGAAAAAAAAGAAAAAAAAAGGAAAAAAAAAAAATCCCCCCCCCCAAATTTTTTGAACCCCCTTATGATTCATCACCCCCAAACTCAATCCCAGCCTTCCCTTTGTGGTATGGTACCTTGCAGTACAATTTCAGAGAGATCCATACACTTGAACACAAGTTATTGTCTGGAAACTAGAAAAATGCTTATTTTTGGCCCCTTTTTGGCCCCTTATTCCTAAACGTTTTGAGCAATTACCCCCAAACTCAATTCCAGCTTTCCCTTTGTGATATGGAACCTTGTAGTACAATTTCAGAAAGATCCATACACTTACACACAAGTTATTGTCATGAAACTAGAAAAATGCTTGTTTTTTGCCCCTCTTTTTGCCCCTAATTCCTAATATTTTGAGGCAATTACCCCCAAAATCAATCCCAGCATTCCCTGTGTGATATGGAACCTTGTGGTACAATGTCAGAGAGATCCATACACTAACACACAAGTTATGTCTGGAAGTTACAAAAATGTTTATTTTTGGCCCCTAATTCCTTAACTGTTGGTACTATAACCCCCACCCAAAATCAATCCCAACCTTCCTTTTGTGGTATTGAAAATATGGTAAAATTTCATAGAGATCCATTCACTTAAACTAAAGTTAGAGTGCGAAAACCAATGTGTCTTCGGACAACGACAACGACGCCAACGTCATACCAATATACGACCGCAAAAATTTTTGCGGTCGTATAAAAACCTTTTCTAAAATTGAGGAAATATAAGACAAAAAGTGTAAACCATTTAAAATAGCCAAATAATTATTATTGTGATGTTTGGAAAACTGAGTAAGAATTGTAATTCTACCAAAAAAATATTTATAGTTTCCACCAGTTGATATAATGTATTTCATACAATCTTAATTTACCGTTTATTCACAAAAAAATATATGTAGCTATCATGGTTATGAAAAAAAATCTGTACATGTGAACGCGTCCACGGTACTGGCCATTTTGATCAGCCGTAAGGTATAGAGTTTTACTAATCAGACTGAAGACATTACAGGAACAATCTAGATGAAGATTTAAGCAATAAAAGCTGTGGTTTTTTATCCATGGCTTGTTGCAATTGTGCACAATACCTACGCTCAAGCTTTAAAAATGCAACGGACGGATGGAAAGATGGAAGGTCAAGGGTAACACTTAATGCCCCCGTTGCTAAAAAAAAAGAAATTTTACAAAGCAACATCTATAAAAAACATCTTATGAAGACCTATGTTGATCTGAACATGTCTTTTCTGGTGTTTTTTTCTGTTGTTGGGTGCTGTCACATTGATGTTTACCTAACATCTCCATTTTATCCCAGTCTAGAGAATTAAATCGTTAACATTATTTGCAGGTTCTACTG